AAAACAATTACGCAAAATAGCGGACGAAGTTGGTACATCCAGTTCCGAAACTCAAGACCGTCAAATACTCACATGGTACCTCTGTCCGGACAGTGGTGTATGGCGAAATGTCGAACTGAACAGAGTTACGCCGATAATTCGTCATAGGCCATCATTCTCATTGTCAGCTTTGTGGCGAGGCTTCTTCTGGTTGGCTGATTTGCAGTTTATTTCGCGCTTCGATCGCCGTGAGCAGGGTGACAGGATTAACCGCTCGCGAATTTCGTCAGGGGGAAAATTGCTAGACCATTCACACATGCAAGGGAGGCCGTTCGGACAGTCTGTCTGGACGGGGCGGTAACCTGTTTCTTTGCGTTTGTGGTACTTGTCGCTAATGATTGGGCGACAATATTCGCGAGGAACAACGATTAAAGTTACCCTATATTGTCCGGACAGGTGCCAGTTCCGGAACTGTATGTACCACATCCTTAGGGCTCACTAAGCTCGGGGGATGGAACTCCAGGGCAGTACTGTATGCTTGAACAGACAGGTTCGGTACGAAGGGACGTGGTTTGGCTAAAATACAAGGCTCATCATCCGGTCCGGATAGCTTGTGATTACGGCTCCAGCGTGCTATGGTCCGGACCACACCTGCACCAAGCCACACCCCAACCACCAAGCCCAGCCTTGCCCAACGTGTCCGTTGGTGGGAGCACGCGAGACACCTTCGGAAGCGCGTTCATTCGAGCCAATCGCCTGGCTGGATAACACCGTGTGACTTCGCTTTGACGAAGACAACGCATCGTCCATTGCTGGTTACAGTACATCGTGCTGGTGCCGAATGTCGCCGGGATCGACGCGCAGAATCTCTTGAACAAAATCTCTACGCGCGGTTGACGGCGCGCATGCACAAATTTTCAACCATGCGGGCCGCCTGCCTGCGACTTGGTCCCAGCCAGCTACAGTAACCGGTCCGTCGCCCACCCTGGGTTCGTCGCCAATCGCCGAGGAACAACACAACAACCACCGAATTGCGAGTGACTGCGGCGAGAGCAGCAAATTTCACTCGCACAACCGCAGTCAGCCTTAGTGGCACACCTCGCACAGAAGCTAGGTCGCAGTTGAATTGATCCGAGTCGCTACGGTCTACAGCAGGAGGGACCTAGAAGAAAATATCTACCCACTCTGGGACACATCGCCACCAATGAAGAATGACATGTACATAAGTCAGGGGAGGCTCATGATAGGAAAAGTAGAAGCAGATCGCGTCTAACACCGTGGCTCCTTGTGTTGCTTATCCTCTTTTGGCCTAACTCGTACTGCCGTCGGAATCCGGCGCTCCGTCTCGACATGCCCTGCGCGATCCTCGGTAGCCTGAAATAGATCTAAACGACTTGCCAGGATAGCCCTTAGAAGCAGCCCTCCCGAGAACCCTCCGTACTGCCCGCCACCTCGACGCCGCATGGTGAGTGCCGTGTGGAGCTCCCTCCTTGCGTCCCACCGTCACCAGCGCATCGCCTGCTGTCTCGTCGCCGCGCATCCCTTCCGCGCCCACCGTCCACCAGCAATGTCGCTGCCTTGCGAGTGCTCGCCACGCTTGCCGAGCTTCGCTCGCAGTCCACGCGCCTCGACAGTGTCGTCAGGCGGGGGGAGTGCCACGCGAGCACGCATTCTCGCTCTCCCAGGCACGGCGGTCGCGTTCGTCCTGCCGTCGCCCTGCGTTTCCTCCCCCTCGCCCTCCGCCTCGATCCACTCACTCCCATGTCCCCCCGCTACTGACACCTCCAACCCCCTACTCCCCTCCCCCTCCCCTCATTTTCTTCCCTCAAACGTTTCTCCGTCTCTTCGTGTCTCCGCCCTCTCCCTCGCACGCTAACGCTCCCCCCTTGTCGCACACCCCTTCCCTCTCTCCCCAGCACCCCATCCGCGCCGTCAGAAGCGGCATGTCGAGCTCGTCGCCGCCGCTTGCGGCGGTGCTGCTGCTTGTGTGCGCGGCGCTCGCTCCCCTCACCGTCCACGGTGCGTCGCACTTTACTTGCCTCCCGCTGTCGTGCTCGCGGCCCTCTTGCGCCGCCGCTCCGTGTGTCACATTTCTCCATCGCACTCTTCCTCTCTTTCTCTGCCCTTATGTCTGCTCGTTTTCCGCTCCGCTCACGCGCAAACCATCAGCTCCGTCTCACGCCCTACCCTCCGCCTTCCGTTTCCCCCCAAAATTCCCTCCCCTTCCTTCAGCGCAATGGACGTCCCTCCCCCGCATCACGCGCGGCGCTTGGCTGTCCCGCTCATTCGGCTCCGCTTCCCGCCGCTTTATTCCCGCCGACGCCGCCGCAGATGAGCGACCGCTCTTCCCCCACGCGCAGTCGAAGCTGACGTCATCGCTCTCCCTCGCCCCCTGGATGTTCCCCTTCGCGCGCTCGCGCTCCTTCCTCCGCTCCGCCTCCCGCCCGGCAGCGCCCTCCGCGCCCACCTTCTCTACCGCGACGCTCGAGCGCGACCAGCCGCCCAAACCGCCCAAGTCGCCGAAATCGCCGAAGCCGCCTAAAGCCCCAAAACCGCCCAAGTCCCCGAAGCCTCCCTCTCCCCCGAAGCCAGTGAAGTCCCCCAAGCCCCCCTCACCCCCCAAGCCTGGAAAGTCCCCCAAGCCTCCTCCTCCCCCCCCGCCCGCCCCCCTGCCCCCCCCCCCGGAGTGGCCATCGACGTACGCAGGCGTCGCGCCGCTCGCGGAGGACGCCTCCGAAACGCCCGTCTTCGACGTGCGGGAGGGGTTCGGGGCGGTCGGGGACGGCACGAGCGACTCGTGGAACGCGTTTGACGGCGCGTTCCGCGCAGCGTGTGAGAGCGCCGAGGCGAGCGGCGGACGGGCGGTGGTGCGGGTGGGCGAGGGCGCGTTCTACCTGAACCGGTCCATCACCGTTAACGGGTCGTGCGGCGCTGGACTCACGCTGCAGGTGCTGCTGCTCTGCCCTCCTCCCCCTCACTGCACTCCACGCTCCCTCAGGCAGCCCCTCACTTTTCCATGGCTACGTGGTACCCCCGCTCACTCTGCACCCTGTGTTCTCGCCCCACCTCATCTCATCCCCTCCTGACTTCAACCCCCTCCCACCTCCTCCCCCCTCCCCTCCCCCCCCACCCCGCCGCTCCTCCCCCCAGGTGGACGGCAGCATCTACGGCCCGGTGTCCAAGGCGGGCTACCCCGAGCCGTCGCTGTACCTGAACGGCACGCTGATCGGCGTGGCGAGCAACGGGCTCTTCCGCTTCATCGGCGTCGCGGGGCTCGTGGTGCGCGGCAGCGGGGTGATGGATGGCAACGGGAAGAAGTTCTGGGGCTCCAAGGCGCCCACCAGGCCGCACATACTCACCCTCATTGACTGCCACAACACCACCATCGATGGGCTCCTGCTGCGGTATGCGTGTGCTCTCTCCCACGCGTTGCTGTGCCGTGCCGTGTGCTCAACTCACATATTCCTCAGCCTCCTCATCGCACCTCCTCGCACCTCCTCGCACCTCCTCGCACCGCATCTTCTGCTTCCGCCTTCCCACATGCCTCCTGACTCATCTTCCCCTCACTATTCCACATGTGCTACTCTACCTTGCCCTCCCCCCTTCCCCCCCCCCCCCCAGCAACCCGCCCATGTACCACGTGTTTGGGTACAGCACGGAGGGGCTGTGGATCCGCGGGGTGACGACCAACAGCCCCGAGTCGTCGCCCAACACGGACTCGCTCAAGCTGCTGGGCGTGCGCCACGCGCTCATCGAGAACTGCACCTTCCACGGCGGCGACGACGACGTGTCGCTCGTGGCCAGGGGCGCACAGAGCGTGGTCAACGTCACCGTCAGGAATCTCATAGCCACAGCCGGCCATGGCATCAGGTGAGATGCTGGGGGCTCAGGTGATATGGTAGGGCGTCAGGTGATATGGTAGGGCGTCAGGTGATATGGCATGGGGCTAGGTGGTAGGGTATGGCATGTGCTGCTGCTGCACTTCCTGGTCTAATCTCACCCCCATTGTTCCTTCCCTCTGTTACATTCCCCCTTGTGCAGCATTGGAAGCCTGGGTGCTGGAGGGGCAGTGGCGTGTGTCTCCGATGTGACTTTCAAGGACCTCATTATAGCCAACCTCGATAATGGGCTGCGCATCAAGACATGGCAGGGAGGCATGGGCATGGTGCGCAATGTACGATACGAGAATGTATACATGACAAACACTGACAACGCCATTATACTGAATCAGGTGAGGTGATGCTTCGCATCTGGGCAGTAGCAGCAGTAGCATCGCTTTGAAAGTAACACACGGCAGCATGCGAATGGGGCGCTCATTCTTGTCTGTTCTGGTGTCTCCGTGCCGCAGTTTTACTGCGACTCACACCAGGACTTCTTCTGCGGCATCGCACCCAACAATGTGGCCCTTGTCAACGTCTCCTACTCCAATGTCTATGGCACCACAACACGGTAAATAGTCAACGAATCTAACAAGCCCCGTCCTCGGCATGCTTTGGCCATGCTCCTGCTGTGTCGTAAGCCTCGGTTCTCATGTGACTGTGATGGGTGGTGAATGTGAGCGCAGATATGGGATGAAAATCCGGTGCAGCGAGACGGTCCCATGTGGCGGCATCAACCTGAGCAACGTCAACCTGGTCTCCTCCAAGGCAGGCAGCTCCCTGCGCCCCGTGCTGGAGAACGTGGTGGCCAGCCACGCCACAGGGGTGGTGGCGCCCGTGCCAGAAGGCATGGGGTCGTATGCTAACTGGGGTTTGACAGCACCAACAGCAGCACAAGCTGCAAATATACAAAACATGATGGCACAATGTGGAAGCTAACTTATGACTGATGTATACATGCGCATAATAATCGAATTACGCTTAACCTGAAGCTTGAACCATGAGAAAGAATGTAATGTGAAAAGTTGGATAGTTGCTTGACAAATTGTGATTGCACCTTTTAGCTAATGTACGTCATATTTAGCACCGGATGCAACATCTGGTGAGCCAATAAATGCATCGTTCTATCGGCTTTCTTCAATCAGATGGTCCAGGTCTCGATTCAAGTGACCCGCTATTCGCCACTCGGCAATTTCGATGTTCCCAGAAGCAGCCATTGGTTTCCCCACACTACCATTCCCTCTTCCTCAGTCTCAGCGAGGCACAATTCGTGCCGTAGCCTCGTGATTTAGCTTTGCCATCGGGCACCTTCGAGGCCGAAGCGGATTTTCGAATGGCGTCGGGACCAGAGGACACAGGAAAGTCGCTGCTGCCGTTTCTGCAGCGCGCCGATGAGCTGCAGAAGCACGACCCTCTCGTCGCCTACTACTGTGAGGATTCGTTTAGTCGCCCGCCTTTGCAGGCATGGGGTGCGACGCTGTCGCTCGGTTCGCGACGTGGCTACCGCGCGTTCTGGAAGGAACACGGATTTGGTCTTCGTCCTTGGGGGTTTCGCTCGCTGGGCTCATGAGATGTGATGCGATTAAAAGTCGAAGAAACAAAAGAGGAGGAGTGGCATTCTTTATTTTTGTCCCAGAGTGAAGAATGTCGTCGGCACGCGTGCTGACGAAGGGGTTGATGGGAGCAATTCTATCGCAGGCAGGGCGCGTGAAGGGCGAGGTGGTGAGCCGCGTGCTGATTGGTTTCACGAGCGGGCGTGGCTTGGGTGGGTGGCATGGACTATGCGGTGCATGGCTGTGCGGTGCATGGCTGTGCGGTGCATGGCTGCGCGGTGCATGGCTGTGCGGTGCATGGCTGTGCGGTGCACGGCTATGGGGTGCATGGCTATGGCGTGCATGGCTATGGGGTGCATGGCTATGGGGTGCATGGCTATGGCGTGCATGACATGGGCATGGTGTGCAGGTCGGCTGTACGCGACGGAGAAGGGGCTGAAGCTGCCGAGCAAGGAGCGCAGCAGGGAGACCAACGACCTGCTGCTCTCAACGCTCGCACGCCTCGAGAAGGTGGGCCTCACAGACATGTGGCATGCCATGCGCACTTAACGCTCATGACTTTTGGCCATGACTTTGGCCAAGAGCACGAAACCCACATTTGTTTTGGCTTTTGTTTGGATTCCCATGTCTGGAATCCTGGAGTCGACGAGGCCTCCTCTGTATGTTCTCCTCCCATCTAACGGTTCCCATCTTAACTCATCCTGCCTTCCCCCCCCCTCCTTCCCCCCCCCCCCCTTCCTGGCATGTGTGCATGGGCAGGACAAGGCGGCGCTGCAGCTGAGCCCCGAGGACAGTCTGCACGTGGAGGGATTCGCTCAGAGGGTCTTTGCTAAGGCGGACAAGCAGGACAGGGCGGGCCAGGCCGACATGTACGCCGTATACTCGTTACAAGCACGCGTATCTTTCTTCCATGTGTCTTCCTCTTCATCTCTTCAACATGTACCTACCTCCCAATCTCTCTCCATGTACTCCCCTCCCATTTCTCTCCAACCCCCTCTACCCCGCCCCTGTTGTGCGGGCCCTCAGCTCCACAGCCAAGACGTTCTATGCTGCGGGGCTCTTCTTTGATGTCATGCGCCAGTTTGGGGAACTGCCACCCGAGGTATTGGTTCACTGCAATGCTCCGTCCTTTGCACGCGCATCTGCTCGCGTTACATGCATCCTCAGCGCTCCTTCCTTCCCTCCTTCCCGCCAACCTCCGCTCTGCCCCCTCCTTCTGCACTCCCTCCTTCCCCCCCGCCCCCCCGCACGCAGGTGGAGCAAAGACAGCGCTACGCGGCGTGGAAGGCGGCTGACATCCGCAGGGCGCTGGCAGACGGAAGGCAGCCCACACCTGGCCCACCTGCTGGTGACGCCGCTGATGCCGCTGGCCTGCTCTCTGCGCCTGCTGCTGCTGCTGCCCCTCCCGCTGCCAGCGCTGCTGCCACGGACGGAGCTGGCAGTGGCATGAATTCTGGCGGAGCTGGTCCTGCAGGGCAGGGGGGTCAGGTGAGGGCAGGGAGGGCAGGTGAGGGGAGGGAGGGCAAGTGAGGAGAGGGAGGGCAGGTGAGGAGAGGGAGGGCAGGTGAGGAGAGGGAGGGCAGGTGAGGAGAGGGAGGGCAGGTGAGGAGAGGGAGGGCATGTGAGGAGAGGGAGGGCATGTGAGGAGAGGGAGGGCAGGTGAGGAGAGGGAGGGCATGCGAGGAGAGGGAGGGCATGTGAGGAGAGGGAGGGCAGGTGAGGAGAGGGAGGGCAGGTGAGGAGAGGGAGGGCATGTGAGGAGAGGGAGGGCAAGTGAGGAGAGGGAGGGCAGGTGAGGAGCGTGAGGGCATGTGAGGAGAGGGAGGGCAGGTGAGGAGAGGGAGGGCAGGTGAGGAGAGGGAGGGCATGTGAGGAGAGGGAGGGCATGTGAGGAGAGGGAGGGCAGGTGAGGAGAGGGAGGGCATGCGAGGAGAGGGAGGGCATGTGAGGAGAGGGAGGGCAGGTGAGGAGAAGGAGGGCATGTGAGGAGAGGGAGGGCAGGTGAGGAGAGGGAGGGCAGGTGAGGAGAGAGAGGGCAGGTGAGGAGAGGGAGGGCATGTGAGGAGAGGGAGGGCAGGTGAGGAGAGGGAGGGCAGGTGAGGAGAGGGAGGGTTGGAACGCAGAGTTCAATGCAGTGTTTCTCACAAGTTGTTAGGTCTCTTCACACACACCCCTTTGCACCGCTGTACGCTTACCCCCCCCCCCTCCCCCCCCTTCCCCCCCTTCCCCGGCAGTATGACATCCTTGGTCTGCCCCAGCCGCCCTCAGCCCAGCCTCTCCGCCCCGACCACAGCGGGGCAGCGCCAGGAGGGGCGACCGCAGGAGGAGGAGGGGCAGGGGGCGGTGGGTGGGCACAGGGGGGCGCACAGCAAGGGCCAGGTGTGGGGCGACCCCATGGGAACAGCGCTGGTGAGCTCGTTACACTTGGGCTCCCCCTACCCAGTTCGTTTCATCCATCCACGTGTCAGTCCATCCACCCAATCGTTTCTACCACTTCTCTCTCCCCGTGCACTGGTCTGTTTTGCCCCTCTTCCCCGTCTCACACTGTGCATACTGAGTGTCCCGCTCCTCCTTCCCTGTCCATTGACTCCCATCTCGCCTCGCCCAACCCACCGCTTTGAACCGCTCTGCTGCAGCCACAACATCGTCCCTCGGCCCTGCAGGTGCAACTATGAACGGTTCAGGTGCACCACGAGCATCTGCTGCTGCTCCGCCACCCTTCTCTGCTCCGGTGCCCGCTGCACCACAGCCTGCTGACACTTCAAGTGCAGGCATCAGCACGGGCATGGGCATGGGCGGGCAAGCACCCCCAGCGGGCAAGGTGGGTGATGCACACCGCGCTGCGCGCTTCGCTGTGAGTGCGCTGGCATTCGACGACGTCCCCGCTGCTGTGGACTACCTCAAGCAGGCACTGCGGTTGCTGGATGAGGCCTAGCAAGCGTATTGGAACATTACAGGCATCGGAGTGAAAGTATAAGTTGAAAAGGTATAAGTTTGCAACGTGGCAGTAGTGCTTTGTACATTTGGTTTGCGCAAGGTCCTTCCTTGCGCCTTGATAGCCCGCGGAAGTGGTTTTCTCTTGAAACACGCACCATTGTAAATTCCGTAAGAGTTTATGCATTGCATAGTGGAGGCGTGCGCTCCACACTAGATTTTCGGTGATATTTCATATGCTAAGAATGATATGAAGAATACCAAATGGTGCTTTGATGTGTGAACCTTGTATGCAAAAAGAGGAAACGTACAAGGGCTATCACGCCCTTTTAAACCACCTTTTCTCCTCTATGGTCCCACCCCGAACAGTCCAAATTGCAATCTCACCTACCAGGTTCTCGGCATGACTCGCGTTGACACTGAACCTGATTGGCTGCAGTCTGAACGATAACGAACTACCAAGTTGTATTTCGACAATTGCGCAGGCAACCAATCTAGTGCATGAGCGAGATTTTGTAACCAGGTGTCATTGTTTACTGTGGGATTTCCCCTTCAAAGTCCCGTTTGTCCGTGTTTTACAATTTCCTGTTTACAGGCTCAAGCCGCGTGCAAAAACCGTAAAACTAAATAGGAAAACAGGTGTACCTTTGAAGTGGTTTATTTGAATGTTGGCGAAACCTACAAAATTCCACTGCAGGAACTTCATCAATTTTGGCCATTTTTCGCCAGGCGCAAGGACAGTTACGGCGGCGCGCACCATCCCCAGCTACCTGCAGGGCGCATCAATTTGGTGGAGGGGCCCGGCGCAGGAGAAAACGCAAATGGGCGCCACAGCGGGCAGCGAATTGGTGCTGTGGGATGGGAAGGTGCACCTGCCAGCAGCCCACTCTACTTCCCAGCACCGCGCGAGAGCGGCACGCCCCGTCCGAATTGCCCGAATCTGACCTGGTCAGGTTAACATGAAAGGTTTACAGTGCGTCGCAAGAGAGATAGCCTTCATTTACGCTGGCACTCACAAGGTTGTGCATCTGACTCTCAAGCGAATGGGTTACAGGACGCCATCTTGCTTGCCGCACAAACCACGAGAGGCACGGTTTCACGCGACCAACATAAAGCCATATAATACCGTAGCGGATGACGGGTTTATGCAGTCGCAGATGCGCCATTAGAATAATCCAGTGACAGCATTCTGCACGTTTCGCGCCTCGATGGAAAGCCTACGCTCCCACGTGTTCCTCGTCGTCCTCCTGCTCGCCGTCGCTCTGCCCTTCAGCTCGCTACCCCAACGCTCGTCCGCCGCCAAGCCGCCCGAGTCGGTGGCGGTGACGGCGGCGGCGGCGGCGGCGCGGCTGAACTACAGCGAGGCGCTCGAGAAGTGCATCTTCTTCTTCCAGCTGCAGCGCTCCGGCAAGCTGCCCCCCTCTCAGCGCTCCGCGTGGCGGGGCGACTCGGGGCTCACAGATGGCAAGGCGGAAGGGGTAAGGCGGGTGAAGGCGGAACGTGCGACGTCTGCGTGGCTGGGGGAGAGTTCAGGGCGCGACAGAGGAGGAAGTAAAATGTGGATACTCTAGTGCGCTGGGCACTGGAATGCAGGAGTGAAGCGCCGTTTCACCAGATCCTCGTTCCTAGCACGAGCTGGCGGTTTGCCCTCCCGACCGCTATTGCCCTTTCCCCCTCCACGCGGTGCCGTTACTCGTCTCCCCCCACCTTTCAGGTGGACCTGTCGCGCGGGTACTTCGACTCGGGCGACAACGTCAAGTTCGGCTTCCCCCTGGCGTTCACCGTGACGGCGCTGGCGTGGAGCGTGGTGGAGTACGGCGCGCAGCTCAAGGCGCTCGGGCAGATCAAGGCCGCCAGGGACGCCGTGCGCTGGGGCGCGCACTACTTCGTCAACGCGCACCCCAAACCCAACGTGCTCTACGCGCAGGTGGGCTGTCCGGGGAGATGGCCTTTACGTGCAGATGGGCTCTACCTGCAGGGTGGGCGGCCATTGCAAGCATCGCTCCTCCCCTGGTTCGCTTCTCGCCCCATCCACATCCACATCCACATCCACATCCTCATCCTCATCCTCATCCTCATCCTCATCCTCATCCTCCTTGGCGTCGTTAAAGGGCACTCTCATCCACCTCTCGCCCTCGCTTCATCTCTCATCCACCTCTCGCCCTCGCTTCATCTCTCATCCACCTCTCGCCCTCGCTTCATCTCTCATCCACCTCTCGCCCTCGCTTCATCTCTCATCCACCTCTCGCCCTCGCTTCATCTCTCATCCACCTCTCGCCCTCGCTTCATCTCTCATCCACCTCTCGCCCTCGCTTCATCTCTCATCCACCTCTCGCCCTCGCTTCATCTCTCATCCACCTCTCGCCCTCGCTTCATCTCTCATCCGCACGTCGCCTTTCATGTCGCCGTCTCATCTGTCCGCCTCTCTGTCTCTGTAAAACCCCTCTGCACATGCATTTGCGCGCGCGCGGTCGGCAGGTGGGCGACGGGCAGTCGGACCACAGCTGCTGGGAGCGCCCGGAGGACATGGGCACGCCGCGCACGGCGTACCGCCTGGACGCGCAGCACCCCGGCACCGAGCCCGCCGCCGAGGCCGCTGCCGCGCTGGCGGCGTCCAGCATGGTGTTCGGCAAGACGGACGCCAACTACTCCAAGTCGCTGCTCACACACGCGCGCCAGGTACCGCGCATCCCCTTGCCCCTCCCGATTCCCCGCATGCCCACTTGTGCGCTGCGCTGCCCCCTCGTTCCGCTCCCTCACAGCCCAAAAACAGCTTCCACTCCGCATCCTGCTCTCTCCACCCGTCCTCGCCTTCTTCTCCCCCACCAGCTGTTCAACTTTGCAAAGCGGTACCCGAAGAAGTACACCGACAGCATCCCATCCGCTTCTGCTTTCTACAACTCCTACTCCGGCTACAATGTACGTGAGTCAATGCGCCCCGTGTGCAGCAGCTCTCTCATGGACCACTCTTCCCATGATCTGCCTGCTACGGGACATGCCCATTGTGACCTCCTGCTGACGTGTCATGCTCTGCTGTCCCCCCAGGACGAGCTGCTGTGGGCGGCGGCGTGGCTGTACCGCGCCACGGGGGAGGCGCGGTACCTGGACTACATAGTGACGCACGAGAAGGACCTGGGCGGCACGCAGTCGTCCGTGCAGATCTTCTCGTGGGACAACAAGTATGCCGGTGCTCAAGTGCTGCTCGCTAAGGTGAGGGGCGGGCTGTGAGGCTAGTGCTGCCATGTGACCCCATCCCATGCCATGTGCCCCCATCCCATGCCATACCCTCCATACCATGCCATACCTTTTATCCCATGCCATACCCTCCATCCCATGCCATCTTCCCCCCCCAGGAGTACCTAGCTCGCCAGGACCCGTCCCTGGAGCTGTACCTGAAGCGCGCCAAGGACTTCGTGTGTGGCACCGTGGTGCGCGGGGTCAGAACGCCAGGTGGGTGGCTGGGGTCAGATCGCCAGGTGGGTGGCTGGGGTCAGATCGCCAGGTGGGTGGCTGGGGTCAGATCGCCAGGTGGGTGGCTGGGGTCAGATCGCCAGGTGGGTGGCTGGGGTCAGATCGCCAGGTGGGTGGCTGGGGTCAGAACGCCAGGTGGGTGGCTGGGTTCAGATCGCCAGGTGGGTGGCTGGGGTCAGATCGCCAGGTGGGTGGCTGGGGTCAGATCGCCAGGTGGGTGGCTGGGGTCAGATCGCCAGGTGGGTGGCTGGGGTCAGATCGCCAGGTGGGTGGCTGGGGTCAGATCGCCAGGTGGGTGGCTGGGGTCAGATCGCCAGGTGGGTGGCTGGGGTCAGAACGCCAGGAGAGTGACTGGGGTCGGTGCCTGAGAGTCAGATTCCCAGGTTAGTTGTGTGAAATCAAATCCCGTGCCCAAAGCCAAGCGTCCCATAATCTAACGGTGCCTGGGAGGCGATATGCATCCGCCAAGCGTCATGTATGGTGTGCCATGCCCCATGTCCCATGTGCCAACTCCCATGTCCCTTGTGCCACGTGCCATTTGCAGGCGGCATGCTGTTCCTGATGTCATGGAGCAACCTGCAGTATGTCACGGCGGTGTCCATGGCGCTCTCTGTGTTGGCCGACTACCTGGACGCCGCCCCTGCCAGTGCGGGCAATGCCACGGCCATCCAGTGCGACGCCACCAACGTCACCACCACCAACATTCGCCGCTTTGTGAAGCGGCAGACGGACTACATCCTGGGCGTGAACCCCAAGAAGCTGAGCTACATGGTGGGCTTCAGCGCCTCGTACCCACAGCGCGTGCACCACCGCGGCGCATCGCTACCGTCCATCAAGAAGAACAAGACGCTCATCGGCTGCAACGACGGCTGGCCCTACTTCCAAGCAAAGGTGCGCCCACTGCAGCATGCAGTAGGCCGACCATGCTCCCCTCCAGCCATCCCAGCTCCTAGCCAACATGTCGTCTCACTTCTGCAGCCATGCTAGCCAAACTCTGGTTCGCCAGTTTTGTGCCATTTCACCCCACTCCTGCTGCCCTTTGCAAGCACGGCATGGCTACTCACCTCTACAATGCACCATTGATTCCCCTTCCTGTGGCCCCCCAGGCCCCAAACCTGAATGTGCTGACGGGAGCGGTGATCGGTGGGCCGGACAGCACAGACGCGTTTCGGGACGAGAGGGACAACTACCAGCAGTGCGAGCCGTCCACCTCCATCAACGCCCCCTTCGTCGGGGTCCTCGCCAGAGTAGCTGGCGGACCGCCCACGCCCTCCAAGAAAACCAGCCCCCCACCCGCCTCCACCAGGGCTCCCCCTCCTCCTCTCAAAGCACCATCTCCGCCTGCCAAGCGCAAGTGACAACACACCAGATAAAACTTGGGGAACATCAAGCTAACAGATGGAAACTAACAAGCATGGGAGGAAATAATGGCTGTTATCATGCCAATATATGAACGTAAGGAAAAAAGTTCATAATGAAAATATACTGATATGGGTGTGATTATGAATGCTTTGAATTATTATATAATTAAGAGTCAATTACACATAGTAAAATAACTGTGCACACAATTGTCTTCATATTTTAGAGGTGCTACGAAAACGAGTACGGGAATTTCTCATAAGGGCGTGTCCAGCGCGTTCGTTTACCATTCACTTTGAATATCAGGTACAAAATTTCGACCTGGTAACCCGAAATTTCGTGTCCATTCGGACACGCACGATAAATGGACAGTTTTGGCGGACACCCTCCAAACGTGCCCACAGATGTGGGCCACACGTTTCCGAACCGAATGAAAATCGTGCGTAAATTATGTACACGGCAGAAACGTCCAAATCCTGGCTGACGAAAAATAAAACGCTTACATTCGCCAGGCTTTCGTGACGTTTGCGAAGCACGGCGAAAAAAGTGGAAGAAGAATTGGAAGTGCATGCGCGACTCGACGCGACTCTTTCCCGGGGCGAAATACGGCTACCCTGCTGTTTTCGCGTGTCAGCCTATTATGTGCGCGCTGCGCACCCGCTCATTTGTCGAGCCCACGGGCGGGGCTCGTGTCCGCTCGTGTCCCAGCGTTTTGCTGTTGATACTGTAGGTGTACCTCAACACATTCACACTTGGCGGATCAATATTTCGGCGTGTTAAAAATACGTCAAAAATTCGTGTTGGGGCAAAATGAACGCGCTGGACATGCCCTGAGCAGAGATGTACACGACACCCGAGATTGAGGTTTTAGCAGTCGCGCTAACGTTTGCTCTAGCACACTTTCACGCTGGGCATTATTGCCGCCGCCGCCACAGGCGCTCTAGCACGCGTCTGAAGGATTCAAAGCCGAACCCCGCGGACGGCCCGTATTGTGCTGCCTCTGCCTCTGACATACGCCGCCCACTAAGCGGATCCCCCCGGCCGAATTCAGCTCAGCTTGTTGCTTGCTTTCCCCGTCCCACCCTTCCCTAGCTCGTGCCAGCGGCGCGTCGCTCAGGGAGCCTCATCGCCCCATCGGGCGCGCGTGCGCCGCCCGTGCGCTGAGGGCGGGCGGTTGTGCGGGGTAGTATTGCCCAGAAGTGCGGGGTAGTGCGCGGTAGTACGGGGACGAAGATGGGGAAGAAGGGGAAGGGTAAGCCGGGGAAGGGGAAGGAGAAGACGGAGCGGAAGACGGCGAAGGCGGAGGCGAAGAAGCAGCGGCGCGAGGAGAAGCAGGTGGACGAGGAGGACGACGTGGACGCCATCCTGGTACGGCCGGCGGGGGGCGGGGGGGGCGCCATTTGTGTGGCAGTGCTGCATGGCATGTGGCAGAGTACATTGCCTCGTGGCATGTGCCATGCTGCCATGCTGTCATGCTGTCGTGCTGTCGTGCTGTCGTGCTGTCATGCTGCCATGCTGTCATGCTGTCTTGCTGTCATGCTGTCATGCTGCCATGCTGTCATGCTGCCATGCTGTCATGCTGTCATGCTGTCTCGCTGTCGTGCTGTCATGCTGTCGTGCTGTCATGCTGCCATGCTGCCATGCTGTCATGCTGTCATGCCGTCATGCTGCCATGCTGCCATGCTGTCATGCTGTCATGCTGTCATGCCGTCATGCTGCCATGCTGCCATGCTGCCATGCTGTCATGCTGTCATGCTGTCATGCTGTCATGCTGCCATGCTGCCATGCTGTCATGCTGTCATGCTGTCATGCTGTCATGCTGCCATGCTGCCTTGCTGTCATGCTGCCATGCTGCCATGCTGCCATGCTGTCATGCTGTCATGCTGTCATGCTGTCATGCTGCCATGCTGTCATGCTGCCATGCTGTCATGCTGTCATGCTGCCATGCTGCCATGCTGTCATGCTGTCATGCTGCCATGCTGCCATGCTGTCATGCTGTCATGCTGTCATGCTGCCATGCTGCCATGCTGCCATGCTGCCATGCTGTCATGCTGTCATGCTGTCATGCTGTCATGCTGCCATGCTGCCATGCTGTCATGCTGTCATCCTGTCATGCTGTCATGCTGCCATGCTGCCTTGCTGTCATGCTGCCATGCTGCCATGCTGCCATGCTGTCATGCTGTCATGCTGTCATGCTGTCATGCTGCCATGCTGTCATGCTGCCATGCTGTCATGCTGTCATGCTGCCATGCTGCCATGCTGTCATGCTGTCATGCTGCCATGCTGCCATGCTGTCATGCTGTCATGCTGTCATGCTGCCATGCTGCCATGCTGCCATGCTGCCATGCTGTCATGCTGTCATGCTGCCATGCTGTCTCACGCGTCCCGTGGCCCCGGCAGGCGAAGATAGCAGCAGAGGAGGCGAAGAAGAAGGAGGTGCATGTGGACGAGGGCGTGCCGCCGCCCTCCCCGCGCTGCAACGCCACGGTGGGTTCACTTGCACTTCCGTAGAAGCACGCTTGCCCCTCTCGTCCATCCATCACCGTCCGTTCCCCTCTCTCCCATCACCGTCCGTTCTGCGCCCACACCCCTCCCTCTGCCGTGCTCTGTTCCTGCTCCACCCCCTCGCCCTGCTCCACCCCCTCGCCCTGCTCCACCCCTCGCCCTGCTCCACCCCCTCGCCCTGCTCCACCCCCTCGCCCTGCTCCACCCCCTCGCCCTGCTCCACCCCCTCGCCCTGCTCCACCCCCTCGCCCTGCCCCACCCCCTCGCCCTGCTCCACCCCCTCGCCCTGCTCCACCCCCTCGCCCTGCTCCACCCCCTCGCCCTGCTCCACCCCCTCGCCCGCCCTGCTCCGCATGGCAGATGGTGGTGAACCCTCTCAAGGACACGGAGCTCGTCATCTTCGGGGGGGAGTTCTACAACGGGGATAAGGTGCGCACTGTGGGGGATAAGGTGCGCACTGTGGGGGATAAGGTGCGCACTGTGGGGGATAAGGTGCGCACTGTGGGGGATAAGGTGCGCACTGTGGGGGATAAGGTGCGCACTGTGGGGGATAAGGTGCGCACTGTGGGGGATAAGGTGCGCACTGTGGGGGATAAGGTGCGCACTGTGGGGGATAAGGTGCGCACTGTGGGGGATAAGGTGCGCACTGTGGGGGATAAGGTGCGCATTGCAGTCGTGAGGGCCGGCCGAGTCTGTTAATAAGGGCGAAACACGTTCGCCCAGCGTTAGAAGGGCAATGTGAAGTGAGATGAGCATCATCGCTAGACTGCGTTCACTTCTCTGCGTTCCCTCATGCAGCGCGCCTGCCTCTCTCCCATAGCTACTCCTCCCGCCCTCACCCCATCTCCCTCCCCCCCCCCCCCAGACGCATGTGTACGGCGACCTGTACCGCTTCAACGCGGACAAGGCCACGTGGCGCCTGGTCAGCAGCCCCAACAGCCCGCCGCCTCGCAGCGGGCACCACGCCGTGGCGTGGAAGAACTTTGTGTTCGTCTTCGGTGGGTGCTCTGCGCTTCACCTTGCTTTCCTGTTCATCATGGCGCGTGGAAGCAAGTTCTTGCAGGTAATTTCATCGTCTTTGTGACAAGCCATTGATCGACTACATCTGGAAGATGCATGAATCTGAAACCATGTGCTGCTGTACCGCTGCTACGACTGTTAAAGCTCCAGATGTGAAAGGCGTGCAGTTGTGTGTGCTGTGTGCTGTGTGCTGTGCGTGGCGTGGCACCAGGTGGCGAGTTCACGTCCCCCAACCAGGAGAGGTTTCATCACTTCAAGGTGCGCCCTCCTCCCCCGTGCCGCAGTGAACCCGCAGCACGCACGCATCTCGGTGCTCTGCAATTCACGTGCACCTGCCATGCTCATTCACCACAAGAGTTGCCCTCGTCATGCCTTTGAATCGTTCCCGCACGTCCTGCTCTTTGGACGCAAACCATATCACTTCCCCACCCTCCACGGCCGTGTCTGTGCGCTTGTTCGCCCCCCCAGGACCTGTGGCGCCTGGATCTGAGCACCAACCAGTGGGAGCAGCTGTCCCTCAAGGGCGCCCCCTCCCCGCGCTCCGGCCACCGCATGGTGCGCCGCTGCATGCTCCCTCCGCTTTCGCCCGCACGCATGCTCCTCACATCATTGCTCATGCACCCGAGTGCGCTCACCTTTGCTTAAAAACCAGCTCACTTGCAATCCCCGAGTGCCAGTGCTTGACCCTCTCTCCCCTCTCCCACACTCTGTGTGCAGGTTTTGTACAAGCAGCGAATACTGCTCTTTGGAGGCTTTTATGACAACCTAAGGGATGTGCGGTGAGTCATGGTCTCATGGCCGGGTGCGCGGGGCTGATTCATGCTCTCTCGCGCGCTGTTGGGGTTTTGAGGCGCCTCAAAATCGCGTGATAGAAGTCTAGTTTTGAGGCGCCTCAAAATCGCGTGATAGAAGTCTAGTTTTGAGGCGCCTTAAAACTAGACTTCATGCTCTCTGGCGCGTTGTTGGGGGCGTGATGTGGAGGCCATGTCGCGAGCAGCGGCACTTGGTGGGTTCTTCTTCCACCTGGATGGATGCCCTGCCCCTATTCCTCTCCATCCCCCATCCTCCCCAGTTGCCTTGCCGCCCATGTGTGTGGCTTCCCCAAGTGATGCGTGTATTGCGCCCCCCCCCCCCCGCCCCCAGCTACTTCAACGACCTCCACGTGCTCGACCTCACCGACATGAAGGCAAGTGTTCTGCCTCTTTGGGGCTCTGGGGCTCTGGGTGTGGGTCTGCTGCTGCTGCTGCTGCTGCCTGCTGCTGCATGTGCTGCTGGCTGTAGCTCTTATTGCACGCTCTTCTGCCTCAATCCTCCCTGCACCATCTCATCTCGCCACCATCTTCCCACCATCTCACCACCCCATCTCACCACCGTCTCCCTGCCCTACCACCCCGCGGTCTCCCCCCCTCTCTGTGTGTGGGTCAGTGGGCGGAGGTGAAGCCCAAGCCGGGAGCAGCATGGCCGTCTCCCCGCAGTGCCTTCCAGTTCGCCGCCCACCAGGATGAGGTCAGCACATGGCTGCCATGAAAAGAATGTATATTGCCATACGAAGTGCCTTGTGTTGTGATGATTCTCGTGCCTCTGCGTCCTCTCTCACATTCCCCTTGTACGCCTGTGCCCTGTGCCCTGTGCCCTGTGCCCTGTGCTCTGTGCCCTGTGCCGTGTGTCGCAGGTCTTCCTGTACGGCGGCTACTTCAAGGACCATGCCAAGGACGCGGACGGCAGGGACAGGGGCGTGGTGCTGTCGGACCTCTGGCTGCTCGACCCGCGCTCCTTCGAGTGGAACAAGGTCAAGCTCTCCACTATGCAGGAAACGAGGGCTGTCTGGTCATGCGGGTTCTGCACTTCTGGTTTGGTTTTTGAGCGCTCTCATGCTCTCATGCTCTCATGCTCTCATGCTCTCATGCTCTCATGCTCGCATGCTCGCATGCTCGCATGCTCGCATGCTCTCATGCTCTCATGCTCTCATGCTCTCATGCTCGCATGCTCTCATGCTCTCATGCTCTCATGCTCTCATGCTCTCATGCTCTCATGCTCTCATGCTCTCATGCTCTCATGCTCTCATGCTCTCATGCTCTCATGCTCTCATGCTCTCATGCTCTCATGCTCTCATGCTCTCATGCTCTTCATGCTCTCATGCTCTCATGCTCTCATGCTCTCATGCTCTCATGCTCTCATGCTCTCACGCTCTCATGCTCTCATGCTCTCATGCTCTCATGCTCTCATGCTCCCATGCTCCCATGCTCCCATGCTCTCATGCTCTCATGCTCTCATGCTCTTATGCTCTCATGCTCTCATGCTCTCATGCTCTCATGCTCTCATGCTCTCATGCTCTCATGCTCCCATGCTCTCATGCTCTCATGCTCGCATGCTCCCATGCTCTCATGCTCTCATTCATGCTCTCATGCTCTCATGCTCTCATGCTCTCATGCTCTCATGCTCTCATGCTCTCATGCTCTCATGCTCTCATGCTCTCATGCTCCCATGCTCTCATGCTCCCATGCTCCCATGCTCCCATGCTCTCATGCTCTCATGCTCTCATGCTCTCATGCTCTCATGCTCTCATGCTCTCATGCTCTCATGCTCTCATGCTCTCATGCTCTCATGCTCTCATGCTCTCATGCTCCCATGCTCTCATGCTCTCATGCTCGCATGCTCCCATGCTCTCATGCTCTCATGCTCTCATGCTCTCATGCTCTCATGCTCTCATGCTCTCATGCTCTCATGCTCTCATGCTCTCATGCTCTCATGCTCTCATGCTCTCATGCTCTCACGCTCTCATGCTCTCATGCTCTCATGCTCTCATGCTCTCATGCTCCCATGCTCCCATGCTCCCATGCTCTCATGCTCTCATGCTCTCATGCTCTTATGCTCTCATGCTCTCATGCTCTGCTCCATGCTCTCATGCTCTCATGCTCTCATGCTCTCATGCTCTCATGCTCTCATGCTCTCATGCTCTCATGCTCTCATGCTCTCATGCTCTCATGCTCTCATGCTCTCATGCTCTCATGCTCTCATGCTCTCATGCTCTCATGCTCTCATGCTCTCATGCTCTCATGCTCTCATGCTCTCATGCTCTCATGCTCTCATGCTCTCATGCTCTCATGCTCTCATGCTCTCATGCTCTCATGCTCTCATGCTCTCATGCTCTCATGCTCTCATGCTCTCATGCTCTCATGCTCCCATGCTCCCATGCTCTCATGCTCTCATGCTCTCATGCTCTTATGCTCTCATGCTCTCATGCTCTCATGCTCTCATGCTCTCATGCTCTCATGCTCTCATGCTCTCATGCTCTCATGCTCTCATGCTCTCATGCTCTCATGCTCTCATGCTCTCATGCTCTCATGCTCTCATGCTCTCATGCTCTCATGCTCTCATGCTCTCATGCTCTCATGCTCTCATGCTCTCATGCTCTCATGCTCTCATGCTCTCATGCTCTCATGCTCTCATGCTCCTCATGCTCTCATGCTCCTCCCATGCTCTCATGCTCCTCATGCTCTCATGCTCTCATGCTCTCATGCTCTCATGCTCTCATGCCTCTTCATGCTCTCATGCTCTCATGCTCTCATGCTCTCATGCTCTCATGCTCTCATGCTCCCATGCTCTCATGCTCTCATGCTCCATGCTCCATGCTCTCATGCTCTCATTCATGCTCTCATGCTCTCATGCTCTCATGCTCTCATGCTCTCATGCTCTCATGCTCTCATGCTCTCATGCTCTCATGCTCTCATGCTCTCATGCTCTCATGCTCTCATGCTCTCATGCTCTCATGCTCTCATGCTCTCATGCTCTCATGCTCTCATGCTCTCATGCTCCCATGCTCTCATGCTCTCATGCTCCCATGCTCTCATGCTCTCATGCTCTCATGCTCTCATGCTCTCATGCTCTCATGCTCTCATGCTCTCATGCTCTCATGCTCTCATGCTCTCATGCTCTCATGCTCTCATGCTCTCATGCTCTCATGCTCTCATGCTCTCATGCTCTTATGCTCTTATGCTCTCATGCTCTCATGCTCTCATGCTCTCATGCTCTCATGCTCTCATGCTCCCATGCTCCCATGCTCCCATGCTCTCATGCTCTTATGCTCTCATGCTCTCATGCTCTCATGCTCTCATGCTCTCATGCTCTCATGCTCTCATGCTCTCATGCTCTCATGCTCCCATGCTCTCATGCTCTCATGCTCGCATGCTCCCATGCTCTCATGCTCTCATTCATGCTCTCATGCTCTCATGCTCTCATGCTCTCATGCTCTCATGCTCTCATGCTCTCATGCTCTCATGCTCTCATGCTCTCATGCTCTCATGCTCTCATGCTCTCATGCTCTCATGCTCTCATGCTCTCATGCTCTCATGCTCTCATGCTCTTATGCTCTCATGCTCTCATGCTCTCATGCTCTCATGCTCTCATGCTCTCATGCTCTCATGCTCTCATGCTCTCATGCTCTCATGCTCTCATGCTCTCATGCTCTCATGCTCTCATGCTCCCATGCTCTCATGCTCTCATGCTCGCATGCTCCCATGCTCTCATGCTCTCATGCTCTCATGCTCCTCATGCTCTCATGCTCTCATGCTCTCATGCTCTCATGCTCTCATGCTCTCATGCTCTCATGCTCTCATGCTCTCATGCTCTCATGCTCTCATGCTCTCATGCTCTCATGCTCTCATGCTCTCATGCTCTCATGCTCTCATGCTCTCATGCTCTCATGCTCTCATGCTCTCATGCTCTCATGCTCTCATGCTCTCATGCTCCCATGCTCTCATGCTCTCATGCTCTCATGCTCTCATGCTCTCGTGCTCCCATGCTCTCATGCTCTCATGCTCTCATGCTCTCATGCTCTCATGCTCTCATGCTCTCATGCTCTTATGCTCTCATGCTCTCATGCTCTCATGCTCTCATGCTCTCATGCTCTCATGCTCTCATGCTCTCATGCTCTCATGCTCTCATGCTCTCATGCTCCCATGCTCTCATGCTCTCATGCTCTCATGCTCTCATGCTCTCATGCTCTCATGCTCCCATGCTCTCATGCTCTCATGCTCTCATGCTCTCATGCTCTCGTGCTCCCATGCTCTTATGCTCTCATGCTCTCATGCTCTCATGCTCTCATGCTCTCATGCTCTCATGCTCTCATGCTCTCATGCTCTCATGCTCTCATGCTCCCATGCTCTCATGCTCTCATGCTCGCATGCTCCCATGCTCTCATGCTCTCATTCATGCTCTCATGCTCTCATGCTCTCATGCTCTCATGCTCTCATGCTCTCATGCTCTCATGCTCTCATGCTCTCATGCTCTCATGCTCTCATGCTCTCATGCTCTCATGCTCTCATGCTCTCATGCTCTCATGCTCTCATGCTCTTATGCTCTCATGCTCTCATGCTCTCATGCTCTCATGCTCTCATGCTCTCATGCTCTCATGCTCTCATGCTCTCATGCTCTCATGCTCTCATGCTCTCATGCTCTCATGCTCTCATGCTCCCATGCTCTCATGCTCTCATGCTCGCATGCTCCCATGCTCTCATGCTCTCATTCATGCTCTCATGCTCTCATGCTCTCATGCTCTCATGCTCTCATGCTCTCATGCTCTCATGCTCTCATGCTCTCATGCTCTCATGCTCTCATGCTCTCATGCTCTCATGCTCTCATGCTCTCATGCTCTCATGCTCTCATGCTCTCATGCTCTCATGCTCTCATGCTCTCATGCTCTCATGCTCTCATGCTCTCATGCTCTCATGCTCTCATGCTCTCATGCTCTCATGCTCTCATGCTCTCATGCTCTCATGCTCTCATGCTCTCATGCTCTCATGCTCTCATGCTCTCATGCCTCATCTCTCATGCTCTCATGCTCTTATGCTCTCATGCTCTCATGCTCTCATGCTCTCATGCTCTCATGCTCTCATGCTCTCATGCTCTCATGCTCTCATGCTCTCATGCTCTCATGCTCCCATGCTCTCATGCTCTCATGCTCTCATGCTCTCATGCTCTCATGCTCTCATGCTCCCATGCTCTCATGCTCTCATGCTCTCATGCTCTCATGCTCTCATGCTCTCATGCTCTCATGCTCTCATGCTCTCATGCTCTCCATGCTCTCATGCTCTCATGCTCTCATGCTCCCATGCTCTCATGCTCTCATGCTCTCACGCTCCCATGCTCTCATGCTCTCATGCTCTCATGCTCTCATGCTCCCATGCACGTCACCTGCTTGCCATCGCATCGCCTCACACCACCATATCATTTGCCCTGCCCGCCTCCTGCCCTGCCCGTCTGCCCGCCTGCCCACCTGCCCGGCTGCCTTCCTGCCTGCTCGCCCGCTTGCCTGCCCGCCCGCCTGCCTGCCTTCCCGCCTGCATGCCTGCCTGCCCACCCGCCCGCCGCCTGCAGGTGAAGCGGCTTGGTTCCCCCCCGAGTGCGCGGGCGGGCTTCTCTTTGGCGGTGCACCGCAGCCGAGCCATCCTCGTCGGGGGCGTCGTGGACACAGAGGAGAAAGGTGCACTGCCGTACCGACTCTTCTCGTCGCCACGCACTTCTGATCCACCAAACCCTCCTCCTCTCACTTTCTTGTCCCTTCCTAACCTGCTGCCACTCCTCTTCTGCTGCACTGCTCTGTCAACCAGTGCAAGCTGGTGTCCCTTTTGCCCAGTTCTGAGAAGCTGACCCAGTACGTCCCGTGTGTGCGTGGCACCGCAGTGACTCTCATGCGCTCACTGCACGCACTGCCCTTACCCCTCCCCCCTGCCCCCTTCCCCCGGGTGCAGGTGGCGATGTGCTGCGCAGCATCTTCTTGGACGACATGTTTGCCTTTCAGATGGACGCCAGGCGCTGGTTCCCGCTGCTGCTGCGCTCACAGCAGCAGGCCAAGGCCGCAGGCAGGAAGGCGGAGGTGAGAGCCCTGCAGGAGAGCAGTATCACAGTCCCTTTCACCTCCTTTCCCCCTTCACCCCTCCTCCCCCCTTCACCCCTCCTCCCCTCTTTGCCCCTCCTCCCCTCTTTGCCCCTCCTCCCCTCTTTGCCCCTCCTCCCCTCTTTGCCCCTCCTCCCCTCTTCACCCTCCTCCCTCTTTGCCCCTCCTCCCCTCTTTGCCCCTCCTCCCCTCTTTGCCCCTCCTCCCCTCTTTGCCCCTCCCCTCCCCCTCCCCTCTTTGCCCCTCCTCCCCTTCCCCTCTTTGCCCCTCCTCCCCTCTTTGCCCCTCCTCCCCTCTTTGCCCCTCCTCCCCTCTTTGCCCCTCCTCCCCTCTTTGCCCCTCCTCCCCTCTTTGCCCCTCCTCCCCTCTTTGCCCCTCCTCCCCTCTTTGCCCCTCCTCCCCTCTTTGCCCCTCCTCCCCTCTTTGCCCCTCCTCCCCTCTTTGCCCCTCCTCCCCTCTTTGCCCCTCCTCCCCTCTTTGCCCCTCCTCCCCTCTTTGCCCCTCCTCCCCTCTTTGCCCCTCCTCCCCTCTTTGCCCCTCCTCCCCTCTTTGCCCCTCCTCCCCTCTTTGCCCCTCCTCCCACTTTTTTGTCCCTCCTTTCGTGTTTCCCTCCCGCTCTTTTTTCCCTCCACCCCTTTTTTCCCTCCATCCCGTTTCTTCCTCCTCCCCCTTTGGTCAGCTGACTGCAGGCGGTGAAGTGACCAGGGGGGCGAAGAGCACCGCACTGGCAGATGGGGAAGATGAGGAGGAGAGTGACGAGGAGACGGAGGGGAGGAAGAGCATGCAGCCAGGCAACGAGGCGGATAGTGAGGAGGAGGAGGAGGAGGAGGTGAGTGGGAGGAAGAAGCAGAGATTGAAGCGCAAGGAGAGGAAGGGGGCCAAGTCTAGAGCAGCAGCAGCTGCAGCAGCAGCGGGGGTGGGGATGGAATGGGAGGGTGGCGAGGAGGAGTGGGGGGAGGGGGAGGATGAGGTGCGGGATGGCAGTGGTGGGGGGGGAAGAGGCGAGCAGGAGAGGGAGGGCGAGGATGCGGAGGGCAGTTCTGGGGGAGATGCAATGCTGGGATTGGAGCGAGGGGCGGGCGGCAGTGAGTGCGAGGCGGGTGCGAGCGATGCGAGCAGGCAGGGGGCGGTGGAGGAAGGTGGGAGGGGCGGAGTGGATGGGCAGGCGGCAGCGGGGAGCGGAAGGGACGAGGGCGCTGGCGAGGTGGAGGGCGGCGTGCAGAGGATGAGGCTGGAGAGCGGCGAGCTGGAGGGGGGCGAGGGCGAGGGCAGGCGGGAGAAGGCAGGGGGCAGCGAGGCACGGGGCGGGGATGTGGCAGGGGGAATCAGCGAGGCAGCAGGGGAAGGGGGCGGCAAGGAGGAGGGCGGGAAGGGGGAGCGCGTGGAGGGGCCGTGTGGGCGCATGAACGCGGGGCTGGCGGTGGGCGGCAACACGCTGTACCTGTGGGGGGGGGTGCGGGAGGTGGGCGACCGGGAAGTCACTCTGGACGACCTCTTCTCCCTCAACCTCTCAAAGCTCGACACGTGGACCTGCATCCACAAGGTGTGTGCATCCACAAGGTGCGTGCTGGCACAGGGTGCGTGGCAGCACAGGGTGCGTGGCAGCACAGGGTGCGTGGCAGCACAGGGTGCGTGGCAGCAACGCCCCAAGCTTAATGGGCACTGGGACATGGCTTCTCACAGGTATGTGTTCTCTTGTTGGGGCTGCCAGTGGGCAGCACCTCGTCTTTTCACTGCAGCCGCATTTCACATGCCTCGCGATGCACACGCTTGGTTGTATTGCCTATAGTGGCGCACACCATGTGTACTTTTGCCGTCCATGTGTGCGTGCTTGAGACAAGTGCAGGGGTCTGAGAGCACGTGGGTGGAGGAGGAGGAGGAGGAGGACGATGAGAGTGGTGAGGAGGGCAGTGGGGGGGAGGACGACGAAGATGAGGATGAGGATGAGAATGAGTCGAGCGACGATGACGCTTCAGCAAAGGTGTGTCCTGGTTCGTCTGTTGCCACCAAGGTTCCTCTGCACTGTCACTACCATCCTCCGAATGAATGACTTTGCTGTTACCACCCACGGCACCCCATGCTTTACAGCATGCGCCTGCATGTCAACACAACATAGTGTGCGCTGCCCTCCAAACACCTCCCACCCGCCAGGGCACGGGCAGCGCCCCCACGGCCTCGGAGCTGGCAGCGGCGGTCCTCAGGGGCGAGGGCCCTGCGGGCGGCAAGCGCCAGCTGTCACGCAAGGAGAGGCGGGCGGAGATTGACCGGATCCGAGCGGATCTGGGGCTAGCAGACACCGAGAGGACGCCAGCTGTGAGTAGTCAGCTGCCTGAATCCTTCCACCCCACACTTGACTCCTTCCGCCCCACACTTGACTCCTTCCTTCCCACACTTGACTCCTTCCACCCCACACTTGCTGCAGTCGAACGCGTCGCCTTGTCTGTTGCCGAGCGTGCCCCCTCACCACTTCCTGCCCCCCCCCCCGCCTTGCCTGTGCTGCGTGCGTGGCAGCCCGGCGAGTCGCTGAGAGACTTCTTTGCTCGCACGGGCGATCACTGGCAGCGTGAGGCCTACCAGCACACACAGCGCACTGGCAAGGTGCGTGATGGCGTGATGCAGGCGCGTGATGGTGTGCCCCATGTGTGTGATGGTGTGCCCCATGTGCGTGATGGTGTGCCCCATGTGTGTGATGATGTGCCCCATGTGTGTGATGGTGTGCCACATGTGTGTGATGGTGTGCCCCATGTGTGTGATGGTGTGCCACATGTGTGTGATGGTGTGCCCCATGTGTGTGATGGTGTGCCACATGTGTGCGATGGTGTGCCACATGTGTGTGATGGTGTGCCACATGTGTGTGATGGTGTGCCCCATGTGTGTGATGGTGTGCCACATGTGTGTGATGGTGTGCCACATGTGTGTGATGGTGTGCCACATGTGTGTGATGGTGTGCCCCATGTGTGTGATGGTGTGCCACATGTGTGTGATGGTGTGCCACATGTGTGTGATGGTGTGCCACATGTGTGTGATGGTGTGCCACATGTGTGTGATGGCGTGCCACATGTGTGTGATGGTGTGCCACATGTGTGTGATGGTGTGCCCCATGTGTGTGATGGTGTGCCCCATGTGTGTGATGGCGTGCCACATGTGTCTGATGGTGTGCCACATGTGTGTGATGGTCTTTGGTAGCTCTCTGTCAGGGGAGTGTGATGATGGGGCTGGTGGGGTGGGTGATGGCATCCCAAAGGGCATCCATCGAGTGGGGTGTGGCGATCATCAGCCAAGTCTGTACATGTGTGCCACATGCACTGCACGGCAGTGCCGTTTGGTGCGCCTGCTCAAACAAGGAGCAGAGTGAGTGCCTGTGAGGCGCGCCGGCTCATGCAGGAACTTGCGAGCAGCAGTTTAGTATGGCATGGGCGTATGCCAGAGCTGTCATGCTGCTGCTCGCCTTGCTCCCCCCTTTCCCCTGGCTGCTGCCTCGCGCCCCCAGGAGCTGCGAAAGGATGGCTTTGACCTCTGCGAGGCGCGCTACCGCGACCTGCTGCCCGTGCTTACTGAGGTCAGTGCCTCATCCTCATGTGTCGCCATTCCGGTAACTTAGCTCCACACCATTGCAAGTTCCACCTTTTGATGCTTATGCAATTTCTCTCCTCTCTGCGGCCATCCTTTTTGAACCCTTCCAGCTGGAGAAGCTTGAGGCTGAGCAGAAAGCTGAGGAGGAGGCAGAAGCAGCTGTCAACAAGGGCAAGGGGAAGAAGGACAAGGGCAGGCCAGCGTCACGTAGATAGCATGCCTAGCATGAGGCATTGCATCGATACATCACAGCTAGACAAATACCATCCATTAAAATCCAACAGCAAATGCTGATTTGCGAAAAGGAGGGTTAACGCCAAAAATGCCACGCCTCATCTCATCTCAACGAGAACATGGTTCCAGGGAATGCGAGGGCAGCCGATAACCCAACATGCGTACCACGCCAAACATATATTGTTATGTTTGTATAGACTGTATAGGTTTGTGTCATAGAGGGTACAGCTTCTAGGTTATATTACCTTGTACTCTCCAATTCTAGTTCATTCTCTCATTCTAACATGGTATCATGAGTAGGTTAGGTCCATCTAGCCCGCCCGCGCTTCCGCCCTAGGCCCTAGCCCCCCTCGTGCCCGTTCCTAGCCGGCCCCTTGCGCCCCTAGCGCCGTCGCGCCCTTCCTAGCCGCCCCCCCCCCCCACCCCCCGCGCCGTCGCGCCCGTCCTAGCCGGGCCCCGTAGCCGTCGCGCCTGTTCCTAGCCGGCCCCCTGAGCCGTCGCGCCCGTCCTAGCCGTCCCCTCGCGCTGTCGCGCCCGTTCCTAGCCGGCCCTTGCGCCCGTTCCTAGCCGGCCCGCGCGCCCGTTCTAGCCGGCCCCTTGCGCCCGTTTCTAGCTGGCCCCTCGCGCCCGCTCTAGCCGGCCCTGTGCGCCCGTTCCTAGTCGGCCCCCGCGCCCGTCCCTTCTCATCCGCCGGCCCGCCGCCGACCCAAGCGTCCATTGTGTAACTGCGCGCCATACCGCACCGCACTGCACCGCCCCTCACCCCTCGGTAACGCACTGCACCGCACAGCACCGCACTGCACCGCACAACACCGCACAGTACCGCATTGCCCCGTACAGTACCGCACTGCACCGCACTGCACCGCTCCGCACTGCACTGCACCGCTGCTGCATTGATCCTGATGGCGGACTCCGTGCTCCGCTTCGACGCAGAGGGTCAGCCGCTCGAGTTTGACACGTGGTTGGTCGACCTCTGCCGCCATCTTACTGGTCAGCGGCAGGATGGCCACTCCCTGGCGGTCCACCTTGATGGTACGCTTCCCTGTCCTGACCCCCTTGCTGCCCTGCCCGCTGACCCCTCGTCCGCTGACCGTGAGTCCGCTGCAGCTGCTGCCCTTGCCCGCTCAGTCTGGTTGTCGCATGACGCCGTAGCACAGCTTGCGATCAGTCATGCCCTCCCCCTGTCTGAGCGCCCTTGCTTTCGGTCGGTTACGACTGCGCAAGAGTTCCTAGATGCTGTTGTAAAGCGATGTTCCACCCCGCTCGCTGCCTCTGTAGATCGCCTGATCCTGCCCATGCTCTTTCCTGACCTTGCGTCTTTCCCCACTGTCGCTGACCTAGCCGCTCACCTACGCACGATAGATGCGACTTGGCGCTCTGCCTGCACTGAGACCTAGCTTAGAGCCTTTCAGCCGCCCCTCTGCTCTACCCTCTACTTGCTTGCCACCGCCTCCCTGACCGTCTTGCTACTGCCCGTGACCGCTTCCTTAGCATCCACCCCGGTGGCCTCACCCTCACTGACTTTGTCGACACCCTGTCTGCCATAGAGACCCATCAGCGCACTATCGCCCAGACCAGCGGTACTGTGCCGGTCCCTATCTTTCAGGGTTGTGCCCTCGCTCAGTGCACCTTCTCCGACAGTTCTGCTTCTGTGGCCGAGTCTGCAGCTACAGCGTAGATCCGTTCTGGGAAGGGCCGCAGCTTTAAGGCTGGGCGCGGCGGTGGGGGTGGTGGTGGAGTCGGGTTGCCTAGTGGTAGCGCTGACGAGGGGACCCTGACAGGTGCAGCCGAGCAGCTGCCTCAGCAGCCGCAGGTGTCGCAGCCGGACACGCACCAGCCGCAGCTGTAGCCCTCGCACCCCCAGCAGCAGCCGCAGCAGCAGCAGCGGGCAGGTGGTCTCCCGCTCGGGTGGCCTGGCGCTGGTGGTGGCGCTGGACGTGGTGGTCGTGCGCGTGGTGGGCTGTCGGGTGGTGGTTCGGGTGACGGGCGCTGCCAGTACCTGCTTCAGAGCGGTCCTCGCCGTGGCTTTGTTTGCGGTAAGATCGGTCACACATCCGTTCGTTGTTTCCGTCGCCTGGACGACCTGTTTCGTCAGCGCTTCGGCCCGTCGCCCGACCTCCCCGACTGGCACAGCTTGCTTCGCCGTAGCGTCCAGATTTTTTATATGGACATGGATGAGATTGTAGCTGCCTTGCATGTGATGTATGCTGAAGACTCTAGTATGACTGTTTCTTATTACCCCTTGTTGCCTAGTGTAGGCGTGTCTAGTCGTGTCTCCCCTGCTGCGTCAGGCGTAGGATCCCCTGTTTTGTTTAGCCTTGGTTCTTCTGTCGCTGCTCCAACTCCAGACGTCACTCCCACACTCTCCTTCACCTTGGACTCTGGCGCTTCTCGGTGTTTCTTTCGCGACTCCACTACGCTGACACCGCTTCATGCTCCTGTTGTAGTTTCCCTTGCCGGCCCCTCCTCCGGCCCGGTAGTCGCCCGCAGTTCCACCACCCTTCCCTGTCCGGCGGTTCCTTCGGGCTCTCTTATAAGCCTGCACATCCCCTCGTTCTCCAGGAACCTAGTGGGTGTTGGCTGCCTCCAGGACCTTGGCGTCACCATTACGTTCCCTGGTCACGAGCGGTACGCTGTCTGTATCGAGGCCGCCACTGGTGCTCCCCTCACCACGTTCCCCCGTGACCCGGTGTCTGGACTGTTCACACTGGACACCGCGACCCCCCCAGTTGGGATGTCTTCTCAGGTGTCTGCGTCTACCCAGGTTGCTGCTGCCTACTCCTGTCGATCGCTCACTCACCCGACACTACTGTGGCACCATCGTCTAGGTCACACTGCCCTCCTGCGTCTGCGTGATATGTCACAGCACGGTCTAGTCCTAGGTCTCCCAGGGTAGTTCCCCAAGTTGCCCTCCTCCCCAGCACCACCGTGCACGCCCTGTGTCGAGGGCCGGCTCCGCTGTGCCCCTCACTCCTCCTCGTTCCCCCCTACCACCGCACCGCTACAGACCCTGTACATGGACGTCTGGGGCCCCGCCCCCGTCCATGGACCGCGTCGAGAGCGTTACTTCCTAGTGCTTGTCGACGACTACACCCGCTACACCACCGTCTTTCCCCTTGAGCGGAAGGCCGACGTGCTTGACGTTCTCATCCCGTGGCTTGTCTCTGCGCGTGTCTACCGCGGTCTCCCTGTCTTGCGTCTCCACTCTGACCGTGGCGGCGAGTTTGCCTCCGGCGTTCTTGGTCGCTTCTGTCGTGCGGAGGGCATCACCCAGACGTTCACCTTGCCGAACTCCCCGCAGCAGAATGGGGTCGCGGAGCAACGCATCGGTTTGGTCATGGAGGTGGCTCGTACCTCCATGAGCCATGCCGGTGCACCCCATTTTCTGTGGCCGTTCGCCGTTCGCTACGCCGCTCACCAGCTCAACCTGTGGCCGCACCCCCAGCAGCCGCAGGTTTCGCCGACCCTCCTCTGGACCAGGTCTCTTGGTGACGCGTCTGCGTTCCACGTCTGGGGTTGCCTTGCTCACGTTTGTGCCTCAGGCACGAACAAGCTCACTGCCCGCACCCTCCCCTGTGTCTTCCTCGGTTTCCCCCTAGACTCGTCCGACTGGCACTTCTACCACCCGCAGTCTCACCGGTTCTTTCACTCCCGCGACGTCACATTTGACGAGTCCGTCTCCTTCTACCGCTGCTTCCCCCACCGAGGTCCCCCAGCTACTCCCCCCCTCTTCCTGGTCCCCCCTTCCCCGGTGGCCCCTGCCCCTCCCCCTCCCCCTCCCCGTCCTGCACCGTCTGGTGTGTCCCACGTCACCCCCCTCACGTCGGTTGTCCCGGTCGAGGAGTCTGCTGACTCTGGTGGTCCTGGGGCACAATCCTCGCCGCCTGTCCCTCCCCAGGTGTCTCCTCCTCCGCCGCCTCCACAGACGCCGTCGCCACCGCTGTCGCAGCTGCCGTCACCGCCGCCGACGCCGACGTCGTTGCAGCCGCTGTCGCCGCAGCCATCGCAGCAGCAGTTTGTTGACTCTGGGGGTGCTGGCGTTGGGGTGGGTACGGGCCTTGGGGTGGTACCGCTGCTCGAGGGGCTTCGGGCTCTGGGGGTGTTCCTTCTGGGGGTGCAGGAGTGGAGTTTTCCGGAGGTAGCCGTGGAGCAGCTTGCGTCCCCGTTGTCGGTGTTGTGCCACCGCAGCCGCAGTCACCGCCGGTGTCAGACCTTCGCCTGCTCGGCCTTTCGTCTCCTGACCTTGCGTCTTTTCCTCTCCTACCGTCCCCTCCTCATGTCTACGGCCCTGTGCTCCCTCCTCCGGAATCGTCTCCGGCTCATCTTCCCCCTCGTTCCCCTCCTGTGTCTCCTCCTCTGTCTCCTGACCCGACGCCTCCGTCTCACGTCTGGTCTTGCCGTCCCTCCCGTGCTCGCCCTGTCTCCCTTGTCCCGCACTCTCACCCTATGTTGCTTCGTTCCCACGCGTCTCATCCTCCCCTCCTGCCGTCGCCTTCTCCGTCCTCCCTTGTTGTTGCGCCTCCCCCTCTGTCTGATTACCTTCGTGCCACTCGTCCTCTTATTCCTCGGGTCCTTGCCTCTCTCGTTAACGACCCGTCTGTTCCGGTTTCGCGTCTTGACGCTCTTGTCGCTGCGGTCGCTGACTTCGCCTCTACCCGCCGCCGTGATTACGCCACCGCTCTGGTCTCTGACCCTGCCTGTCCTTCGTCTGTCGGGGGTGCTCCTGCCCTCAGCAATGACGTCCTGGAGGACCGCCCGTACGAGCTTGCTTTCCTGTCCGAGGCTGCTCCCCATCTCTGTTCCATGCTGCTAGTCCCTGAGGGTGACCCAGACGCTTTCGACATCTCGACCCCTTGCATTTACGCTGAGGCGGTCTCGGGACCTTGGGCCTCTCAATGGATAGCTGCCATGGAGCAGGAGATGGCATCTTGGAGATCCATCGGCACCTACGTCGACGCAGTTCCCCCACCAGGGGTGAATATAGTCGATGGCCGCTGACTCTTCAAGGTGAAGCGCCCTCCCGGAGAGCCGCCTGTGTTCAAGGCGCGCTACGTGGCTAGATGCTTCAGTCAGCGTGCGGGGGTGGACTTCTTTTAGACTTTCGCTCTGACCCCGAATTTGACTACTCTTCGGGTGCTGCTACACGTAGCAGCTCAGCGTGACTACGAGCTTCACTCCCTCGACTTCTCCACTGCGTTTCTTCAGGGCAGTCTACACGAGCAGGTCTACCTGCGCCGCCCTCAGGGTTTCACGGGTACCTTCCCTCCTAGGACCCAGTGGCTCCTGCGGCGCCCCGTCTACAGCCTGCGGCAGCCTCCCCGTAAGTGGCACGACACGTTGCGTGCTACCCTTGCTGACCTGTAGTTCTTTCCGTCCTCTACAGACCCCTCGCTCTTCGTTCGTGCTGGCCAGACTCCGTTCTACATCCTTGTTTACGTAGACGACATGGTCTTCGCCACAACAGACAGGGACGCACTGGCCTCGGTAAAGGCAGAGCTGCTGAAGAGACACACCTGCACGGACCTTGGAGATTTGCGCTCGTACCTTGGCTTGCAGATCTCCAGGGACAGAGCAGCGCGCACCATGACCCTCACTCAGTCACACTTGGTGCGTCATGTCCTTCAAAGGTTCGGCCTTCAGTTCTCCTCTACACAGCCCACCCCTCTGTCTGTAGACCACAGGCTCTCTGCTCCAGTTCCTGAGGAGTCAGTAGAGCCCAGTGGCCCTTACGCAGAGCTGGTGGGTTGCCTCATATACCTGATGACTTGCATTCGCCCAGATCTCGCATACCCTCTCAGCATCTTGGCTCGCTTTGTGGCCACAGACAGACACCAACCTCAGCACTGGTCTGCCGCTAAGAGGGTTTTGCGTTATCTTGCAAGTACATCGGGCATGGGGTAAGTGCTAGGAGGGCGCATGCCTGTGGTCCTTACTGGGCACACAGACGCTTCGTGGGCAGACGACGCCGAGACCCTTAGGTCCTCTGAGGGCTACTGCTTTAGCCTTGGTTCTTCCTGCTTCGTGAGCTACAGCAGCGCCGCCAGGCTTGCGTAGTACACTTGGCCTCCGGTGCCAACACAGCTGATATCTTTACGAAGGCGCTTGCGCCTAAAGATTATCAGTGGCACTGTGTACAGCTAGGTCTTGTTCGTGTATCCTCTCACTTGCTAGGGCCTTGACTGTGTACAGACCTTTTATATATTCTATTCTGACTGGCCTTGTGGCCTCTTCCAGTGGCTGGACTAGTAGTGCCGCCCTGGTTTTGCTTTTGGCTTGTGTTTGTACTCGTTTGACTGGTCTTTAGACCCTTGCCTCAGAGGTCGGACTAGTAGTGCCACCCTGAGCTGCTCGTTCTCTCGTTAGGAACTGCTCCTAGACAGTCTAGGGGATGTGTCAAACATATATTGTTATGTTTGTGTAGATTGTATAGGATTGTGTCTTAGAGGGTACAGCTTCTAGGTGATATTACCTTGTACTCTCCCATTCTAGTTCATTCTCTCTTTCTAACATACCACTCATGGTAGGAAGCAGGGCCTCAGATTTCAGGCAAATTTCCCTGATTCAGGGTTTTTTCAGAGGTTTTTTTGGTACCAACCCTGATGGTCTAGGATTTTTTTTTTACACAACCCTGAAATTTCAGGGCTTTTTTTTTAGTGAACTCTGTTTGTACAGCGTTGCTATTGTAGAGGTCCCTGTATCATCTGCCTAATGGGCAGCTACCCCGAATCCTGTAACAGCGTGATTTGGGGTCCGGCCATAATGACCGTATGTTTCCCCTGCTCTATGTGTGCTGGGGGGTTGTGTGAGGGCACTTGGCCCTTAGCCAATTTTAGGGCTAGTGTGTGCTGGGGGAATTGTGAGGGGAATTTTTTACCCTTCGCCACATTCAGGGCCCAATGTGTGCCTTGCGGCTTTGTGAGGGCGAGATTTCCTCCCGCCCCTGCAATTTTGCTCTGCTATCCGATTGGGTTGTTCGGCTAAATATGATTGGCTGAGGCTGTCAACTTATACATATTATCTATGTAGAAGTTATAGGCTAGACTGAGGTATGCTTCTAGTGAGTACAACCAACTAGTATTTGTTCTAGGTTTCCACCTCTAGTAATCATTCGTTTCTACGTTAACATGGTATCACGCTTAGGTTAGTCACGCCCTCCCTGTGTCTGAGCGCTCGCGTTTTGCTACTGTTGAAACGGCCAAAGCTTATTTAGACGCCGTTATTGCTCGCTATTCCACCCCTGCCTCCGCTTCTGCTGGCCGCTTGCTCTTTCCGATGCTGTTCCCAGACCTGGCTGCCTTCCCTACTGTCGCAGACTTTGCCACTCATTTGCGTGCCCTAGAGACTCGCTATCGCACTGCCAGCACTGCTGCCCAGCTCACTGCGCTCCCCCCTCCTTTCTGCATGACGCTCTATTTTATCGCTATGCGCCTGCCAGACCGCCTCGCTAGTGCTCGCGACCACTTTCTTAGCCAGCACCCGGGTGACCTCACCCTGACCGCCTTTGTCGACACCCTCACTGAGATCGAGACTCGCCAGCGCACTATCGCTCAGTCGAGCGGTGCGCCGGCAGTCTCTATCTTTCACGGCTGTGCCCCATCCCAGTGCACGTTCACTGACGTTTCGGCTGCGGTCGCCACGGCGACCCCTCTTACCGAGACGGCTGCTGCTGTCCACCCGCAGCAGCGCTCGCGTCGCGGTGGCCGTGGCCGCCAGGGAGGTAGGGGTGGTGACGCAGGTGGTAGTGGTCGTGGTGGTGGTGACGGTAGTCCGCCTGAGGGGACTACCACCGGTGGGCAGGAGCAGCAGCCCCAGCAGCAGCAGGACCAGCCCCAGCCGCAGCCGCCGTCCCAGCAGCACCCGCCGCAGCCGTGGGCTCGTCTCCCGCCTGGTTGGCCCGGCACCTCCGGAGGCGGTGGCCGTGGTGGCGGCCCGCGCAGCTTGGCGTCTACCAGCGGCTCCAGTGCTGTGACCTGCCAGTACCAGCTTCAGACCGGGCCTCTCCGCGGCACTCTGTGCCGCCGCCCGCACCCGACCGCCCGCTGTTTCCGCCGCCTCGACGATCTTTTTCGTCGTCGCTTTGGCCCGGCCCCGGACCTCCCTGACTGGCACAGCCTACTCCGCCAGGGCGTGCCGATCTTTGAGTTAGACATGGATCAGATAGGTGCTGCTTTGCATGCTTTGTATGCTGACGCTTCTAGTGTTGCTGGATCTTACTACCCTGTGTACTCTAGTTTAGGTGTTTCACCCTTGTGTAGCTTAGCTTCCCCTGCTGCGACAGGCGTAGGACTGCCTAGGTTGCCTAGTCTAGTCGCTGCACCGGCTCCGTCCCCGGCCTCCGCCACTGCGTCGCTGTCCTTCACTCTCGACTCTGGTGCTTCTGCCTGCTTCTTCCGCGACCGTTCCACGCTCACGCCGCTTGCTGCACCTGCTGTTGTCTCTCTCGCTGACCCCTCTGCGGGTCCGGTCGTCGCGCGCAGTTCTACGTCCCTTCCTTGTCCGGCAGTTCCCTCGGGCTCCCTTACTGGCCTCCACGTTCCCTCGTTCTCCAGGAACCTGGTTGGTGTCGGCTGTCTCCAGGACCTCGGCGTCACCACCACGTTCCCCGGGCACGAGCGGTTCGCTGTCTGTTCTGAGGCTGTCTCAGGTTCCCCCCTTGCGACGTTCCCCCGGGACCCGGTGTCCGGTCTGTTTACCCTACACACCGCTTCCCCCCCGGTTGGTGCGTCCTCCCAGGTCGCTGCAGCTTGCTCGTGTCGGTCCCTCACTCACCCCTCCCTTCTCTGGCACCACCGCTTAGGTCACCCTGCTCTCCCGCGTCTGCGTCACATGTCCCAGCACGGTCTTGTCTTAGGTCTCCCCGCGTCGCTCCCTGCCCTTCCTCCCTCGACTGCGCCACCGTGCACGCCTTGCGTCGAGGGTCGGCTCCGCCGTGCTCCTCACTCCTCCTCGCTGCGTCCTGCTACTGCCCCCCTTCAGACCCTGCACTTGGACGTTTGGGGCCCTGCCCCCGTCCCCGGACCGCGCGGTGAGCGCTACTTCCTTGTGCTCGTCGACGACTACACGCGCTACACCACGGTGTTTCCCCTGGAGCGGAAGGCCGACGTGCCCGACGTTCTTCTCCCGTGGGTTGTGGCTGCGCGTCTCCACCGCGGTCTCCCCGTGTTGTGTCTCCACTCCGACCGTGGCGGCGAGTTCGCCTCTGGTCGGCTTGGACAGTTCTGTCGTGCGGAGGGCATCACCCAGTCGTACACGTTGCCGGACTCGCCACAGCAGAATGGGGTTGCTGAGCGCCGCATCGGCTTGGTCATGGAGGTCGCCCGTACCTCCATGATCCATGCCGATGCCCCCCATTTTCTGTGGCCGTTCGCTGTTCGCTACGCGGCTCACCAGCTTAACCTGTGGCCACGCTCCCAGCGGCCACAGGTTTCGCCGACCCTCCTTTGGACCGGGTCCCCCGGTGACGCGTCTGCGTTCCACGTCTGGGGCTGCCTTGCTCACGTTCGTGCCTCTGGCACGGACAAGCTCACTGCCCGCACTGTCCCCTGTGTCTTCCTCGGTTTCCCCCTGGACTCGTCTGACTGGCTTTTCTACCACCCGCCGTCTCACCGCTTCCTCCACTCTCGTGACGTCACCTTTGACGAGTCCGTCTCCTTCTACCGCCGCTTCCCTCACCGAGGTCTCCCAGTTGCCCCCCCCCTTTTCCTTGCTCCCTCTCCCCCGGTAGCCCCTGCCCCTCTCCCGCCTCGTCCTGCCCCGTCTGGTGTCTCCCACGTCACTCCCCTCCCGTCGGTTGTCCCCGTTGAGGAGTCTGCTGACTCTGGTGGTACCCCCGGTCCGTCCTTGCAGCGTCCCCCTTCCCCGGTGCCTCCGCCCCCACTGTCGCAGTCGCCGACCCCGCTGCCGCCGCCGTCGCCGTCGCCGCCGCAGCCGTCGCCGCTGTCGTCGCCGCCGCCGCCGCTGTCGCTGCCGCCGCTGTCGCCGCCGCCGCAGCCGTTGCCGCCACTGCCGCCGCTGCTCTCGGCCCCTGGGGGTGCTGGTGTGGCGGAGGGTGTTCGTCCTGCGGCTTCTGGGGGTGCCGCTGGTGTTGGAGGGGGTTCTCGCTCTGGGGGTGCTGGTTCTGGGGGTGCTGCTGTTGAGTGTTCTGCCGACGGTCGTTCTGCCTCTGCTGGTCCGAGAGTTCCGGCCCAGCCGTCGTCGCCGCCGCAGCAGCCGTCGCCGCCGGTTTCCGCTCTCCGCCTGCTCGGCCTTCCCTCCCCGGACCGCGCGCCGGTGTCTCCCCCACCGCCTCCTGACCTTCCTGTCTACGGTCCTGTGTTCCCGCCGCCAGACTCGTCTCCGGCCCGTCTTCCTCCTCGTTCCCCTCCTGTGTCTCCTCCGCTGTCCCCTGACCCTACCCCTCCGTCTCACGTTTGGGCTCGCCGTCCCTCCCGTGCTCGTCCCGTCTCTCCTGTCCTGCCCACCCACCCTATGTTGCTCCGTTCCCACTCGTCTCGTCCTCCCCTCCTCCCGTCCCCTCCTCCCTCGTCCCTTGCTGTTGCACCTCCTCCGTTCTCTGACTACCTCCGTGCTGCTCGTCCCCTTGTCCCTCGGGTCCTTGCCTCTCTTGTTACCGACCCTGCTGTTCCTGTCTCGCGCCTTGACGCGCTTGTCGCTGCTGTCGCTGACTTCGCCTCTACCCGCCGCCTTGACTACGCTACCGCTCTGGTCTCTGACCCTGCTCGTCCTCTGTCCGTCGGGGGTGCTCCTGCCCTTGGCAGTGACGTCCTAGAGGACAGGCAGTACGAGCTGGCTTTCCTTTCCGAGGCTGCTCCCCATCTCTGCTCCATGCTGTTAGTCCCTGAGGGTGACCCAGACGCCTTCGACATCCCGACCCCTCGCACCTACGCTGAGGCCACCTCGGGACCTTGGGCCTCTCAGTGGATAGCTGCCATGGAGCAGGAGATGGCATCTTGGAGATCCACCGGCACTTACGTCGACGCAGTTCCCCCGCCTGGGGTGAACGTAGTCGATGGTCGGTGGATCTTCAAGGTGAAGCGCCCCCCTGGAGAGCCGCCTGTCTTCAAGGCGCGCTACGTGGCCAGAGGTTTCAGTCAGCGCGAGGGGGTTGACTTCTTCCAGACCTTCGCCCCGACCCCGAAGATGACCACTCTTCGGGCGCTGCTACACGTAGCAGCACAGCGTGACTACGAGCTTCACTCCCTCGACTTCTCTACTGCCTTTCTTCAGGGCAGCCTACACGAGCAGGTCTACCTGCGCCGACCACAGGGCTTCACTGGTACCTTCCCTCCTGGGACCCAGTGGCTTCTCAGGCGCCCGGTCTACGGCCTGCGTCAGGCTCCCCGCGAGTGGCACGACACGCTACGTGCCACGTTAGCAGACCTGCAGTTCTTTCCGTCCTCTGCTGACCCTTCACTGTTTGTGCGTTCCGGCCAGACTCCGTTCTACATCCTTGTCTACGTAGACGACCTGGTCTTCGCTACTCCTGACAGGGACGCACTGGCCTCTGTGAAGGCTGAGCTGCTGAAGAGACACACCTGCACTGACCTTGGAGAGCTGCGTCGCTATCTTGGCCTGCAGATCTCTAGGGACAGAGCAGCACGCACCATCACTCTGACCCAGTCACACTTGGTGCGTCAGGTCCTTCAGAGGTTCGGTCTTCAGTTCTCCTCTGCACAGCCCACACCTCTACCCGTAGACCATGGGCTCTCTGCTCCCGTTCCTGAGGAGCCAGTAGAGCCCAGTGGCCCCTACGCAGAGCTGGTGGGTTGCCTCATGTACCTGATGACTTGCACTCGCCCAGATCTCGCATACCCTCTCAGCATCCTGGCTCGCTTTGTGGCTACAGGCAGACACCGACCTCAGCACTGGTCTGCCGCTAAGAGGGTTTTGCGTTATCTTGCTAGTACATCAGGCATGGGGTTAGTGCTAGGAGGACGCAGGCCAGTGGTCCTTACTGGGCACACAGACGCTTCTTGGGCAGACGACGCTGAGACGCTCAGGTCGTCGCAGGGCTACTGTTTCAGCCTTGGTTCGGGTGCTATCTCTTGGAGATCCACTCGCTCGTCGTCTGTGGCTCAGTCTAGCTGTGAGGCTGAGATCTACGCTGGTGCCATGGCGGCACAGGAGCTCCGCTGGCTGACCTTCTTGCTCACAGACTTAGGTGAGCGGCCTAGCTCTGCCCCGGTCCTGTACGCTGACAACAGGGCCATGATACTCCTGTGTCAGGAGCCTCGGCTTGAGGGTAGAGCGAAGCATATCCAGCTGCGGTACTTCCTCCTGCGCGAGCTACAGCAGCGCCGCCAGGCCCGCGTAGTTCACTTGGCCTCAGGTGCCAACACAGCTGATATCTTTACTAAGGCGCTTGCGCCTAAAGATCATCAGCGGCACTGTGTACAGCTTGGTCTTGTTCCTGTAGCTGCTCCCCTGTTAGGATCCTGATTGTGTACTCTCTATTATATATGCTTGTCAGACTGGCCTTGTGGCCTTACCTCCAGTGGCTGGACTAGTAGTGCCACCCTGGCTTGCTTCAGTTTTGGTTGTATTCTTGCTGACTGGTCTCCAGACCCCTGCCTCAGTGGTTGGACTAGTAGTGCCGCCCTGAGCTGTTTGCTTCTTGTTTAGTTTCACCCCTTGTCTAGCCTAGGGGGTGTGTCAACTTATACATATTATCTATGTAGAAGTTATAGGCTAGACTGAGGTATGCTTCTAGTGAGTACAACCAACTAGTATTTGTTCTAGGTTTCCACCTCTAGTAATCATTCGTTTCTACGTTAACAGAGGCTTCCTGAAAGTGTAACCGCAAAATTTGATGGGCTCAGCATCATCATAATTCCCGCGGGAATCCTCCCTCCCTCCTCCCCCACCCCCATTCCGTCCCGTCTGTGCCCTCCCCGAATATCGATCCACCCATCTCCCAATTTCGTCATATCAGCATAAAATTTTGAAGAAACCCTGATTACTCAGCGGATTTTTTTTTGGAGCCCTGAAAAATCAGGGTAAACATGGGGGGGGGACCCTGAGCAATCAGGGTACCTCAAAACCAATCTGAGGCCCTGGTAGGAAGGGGTTGCGTTGCGCCACATGTGCTGGGAAATTGGACCTCTGCTATTATATACCGCAAACCATAATAGAAATCATAACGTGCAGAAGGCCTTTAGTGTGGATCTACTGGTATGCGTTGCAGTTCAAAAGGTGTCTTCTCACTCTTATAATTTCTGCTGGAAAGGAATATTCTAGATGTACATAATGCAGAGAGTTTCACTGTATTGACGAAGTATTGTTTGCTTATAAGCCACAGCACTTGTCCTGCAACATCCTCGGAAGTCGTCAAGCAAGAATAATTGCGGCGAGGCAGTGGCGCACCGCATCGTCTGGAGGCACCCGAATTCCCCAACCCGTGCGCAGTACGCTCAGTCCTGCCGTGCCGGAAACACGACTCCCTGCCGTGGTGTCCGTTTTTGCTTAGTCGTGGTGCTCAATGAACGGCACTGCCAAGATTGCTCGTTCATTATTGTTGTATCCCTCCTTGTTCTTGCCCCTGCTAGAACTAACTCGTTTCTTTGCCACAGCGCCTTCAGCCTTTTAGACAGCGCCACTCAACAGCAATCTCGCCGATCCTTCACCGAGATCAGCGCCTCCCACGAATCTTCCCATTGGGAACCTAACTCGCCCGGGGAAGTCTATTTTCTCAGCGTCAGCTGCGATTGCTCCGTGGCCGCAGTTCCACCACACGTCGTCGTGCGCCCGCAGCGGTCTCCGTCATCGCCCTGCCCACGCCCTCCCTCGCGCTGCGCCGTCATTGCGCCACCCCTTGCCTCGTGCGAGTGCGCTAGACAGGCGCGCCTCACACAGCCCGCGCTGCGACTGTGAGCGCCCGGCGGACGCGGTTCACCCGCCGCTTAAGAAGGCAATGGCTGGTGGGGTGGGCGCGTGGCGGCGGGGCGGCATCAGCATCATCCGCATGGTTACGATTGCGTGGGCGCCGCTGGCGCTCGCACTGCTTGCGGCCGCCAGTCTTACCGTGCCATGCTGCGCCGTCACGCGCGAAACGCAAGGTACTACTAAATCCCTGAAACAAAACGTGCTTGGCGCGCAGCGCAAGGACTCCCAAAAATGTTTGGTCCACATACTATGTTCAAACATCATCATCACAATTTATCTATGGCGAAGCTTCCTATCGAATGATTCGCGGATGAGGCCCTTGTCAAACGAGTCTAGAAAGAGACTGAACTATATCTCGATTTTGCTAGAACGATACTATGGCAAGTAAAACCGGGCCGAAATCGGTTCTATTACTTAGCACGTAAAAAAACATGATGTTTTACAACATTGCAATACAATGCCGCAAACATGTTCAAGCATAGTACGGGGGGCTTCGAATGTTTGGGAGGCGAGAGAGAGCCATTGGGTTGCCGGCCCGTGGAGGGCAGTGGCGTCCAGCAACGCTGCTCACACGCCCCCCTAACGCCCGTCTCCGCCTGTTGCCCCACCCCCTCTGTGCCTCTTGCGCGGCGTGTCCCCTGCATGGTGCATGGTGCATGGCGGGTGGCAGCGCTGGCGAGCATGGCGGCACAGTGGCACGCGGGCGACGCGCTGGCGTCGTGGCAAGTGGACGATGTGTGCGGCGCCCCAGCAGGGGCGACGGGCGTCACGTGCCAAGACGGGTCCGTCACCGCCTTGTAAGGCCTCCCTCCCCTTCCGGGCCCCATCTCCGTCAGCCCCGGTTTGTGATCCTGCCAACTTGGAACGTCCGCCTTAGAACATGATGGAACAGTTTAGCGCCCCACCCCGTGCTCACATTGCACCGCTTGCTTGTGCTGCTGCCGCATTCTCGGTCTGTGCCAATGCCATGTCGCCCATGGCTCACCCATGTGATGCTGCATGCTTTGCTTCCGCCACGGGATGCGTGTGGGCGTGTGCGTGTGCGTGTGCGTGTGCGTGTGTGCGTGTGCGTGTGCGTGTGCGTGTGCGCGTGTGCGTGTGTGCGTGCGTGTGTGCGTGTGCGTGTGCATGTGCGTGTGTGTGTGGGCGTGTGTGCTCGGCGTGTGTGCGTGTGGGCGTGTGGACGTGTGGCCGTGTGTGCGGGAGTGCGTGTGTGTGTGTGTGTGTGTGTGTGTGTGTGTGTGTGTGTGTGCACGCGCGCGTGTGGTGGCGCCATGCAGGTCGCTGAGCGCATCAGGGCTGTCGGGGCCGCTGCCTGCGGAGCTAGGCAGCCTCTCAGCGCTCACTCTCCTGTCAGTGCGCACCACCCACTCGCAGTCGCTGCACCTCGCTCCACTCACACATCCCATCACGCCCACTGCTTCCTCACCACCCGCCGCCTGCTGCATCTGCTTCTTCCACTGCCCCATAACCATGCCGGTGGGGCTGCTGCCCCATAGCCATGCCGGCGGGCCTGCTCCCCCATAGCCATGCCAGCGGGGCTGCTGCCCTCCGCTGCTCGTATGCCTCCATACGCTCCTCTGTCCACATGCCTCCATACCCTCCCTGCAAGACTCACCTGTTGCCCTTTGATGCTGTGGCGTGCATTGGTTGTATGGTGCCTGGTGCATGGAGCATGGTGCATGGAGCATGGTGCATGGAGCATGGTGCATGGAGCATGGTGCATGGTGCATGGTGCATGGAGCATGGTGCATGGTGCATGGTGCATGGTGCATGGAGCATGGTGCATGGTGCATGGTGCATGGTGCATGGTGCATGGTGCATGGAGCATGGTGCATGGTGCATGGTGCATGGTGCATGGTGCATGGTGCATGGTGCATGGTGCATGGTGCATGGTGCATGGTGCATGGAGCATGGTGCATGGTGCATGGTGCATGGTGCATGGTGCATGGTGCATGGTGCATGGTGCATGGTTTATGGCCCTGAGTGCATGGCGCAGGGACCTGAGTTACAACAAGCTCACTGGCAGCATGCTCAACAGCATCAGCAACCTCACCCGGCTGCATACGTTGTACGCCCACACACACACCCCTCTCACCGCTGCCTCTTCAAATGCTGCACCATCTCTCACCCGCCTCTTCCTTCCACTCTGCTCCATCGTGTTGAGCCCGGCTCGTGTTTCATCCCTCGTGCCGCCTGCCGCCTTGCCTCCGCCCACCGCAGTGACCTTCACGCCAACAAGCTCAACGGCTCACTTCCCGACTCCCTCTCTGCCCTCAAATCCCTGCAAAAACTGTCAGTGCACCTGCATGCCCCAGAGCCATATCCCCCACAACCCCCGTACCACATGCCACATCATGCCACATAATACATGCCACATCCTCCATACACCACGTGCCACATCCCCCATGCCAATCGCCACATGCATCAGCAGTCCAACCACACATGAAAGCCATGCACACATAGAAGCCTAGACACGGATGCACGCACGGCATCACCACTATGGTTGGAGTCTCCACCACCCTTTCCTCCGTAGCCCCTCTGCGTGCATGCGTTGCGCATGCATCCTCGTGCATCCCTGTGCGCATGCACCCTTTTACCCATGCACCCCTTGATGCATGCGACCCTTAACGCATGCACCCCTTTGCGCATGCATCCTGCCATCTCTGTGCGCATGCATCCTGCCATCCCTGTGTACATGCATCCTGCCATCCCTGTGCACAGAGACTTTCAGCGCAACGCCTTCAGCGGCACCCTCCCCACGTCCCTCTTCGCCCTCACCAACCTTCGCTACCTGTAACTCTCCAGTTTCCCATCATGCTCTAGCCTTGCCCTCGCTTCATCCAGGCCCTTTCGGCCAAAGTCAGACCGTTCGCAGTCGTTTGGTCGTCTCCTCATCCCTGCATCCCCACTTCCCTCCCATGGGCCACTGCCTCTCCTTCTATCGTCGCCTTTTGCCTCCACCCAGCGGTGCGACCTCTAACCGTAGTTGTCATCGCTTTCACTCTCTGTGTGCACCGGGTGTGTGCACTGCATGCGTGCACTGCGTGGGTGCATTGCGTGTGGTCACTGCGTGGGTGCATTCCGTGTGGTCACTGCGTGGGTGCATTGCGTTTGGTCACTGCGAGGGTGCATTGCGAGCATCAGATACACGGATGGCAACAAGCTCTCAGGGTCACTGCCTGCCACTGTCGGTCGCCTCTCCAACCTCGTTGCCCTGTGAGCCGCACCAGCCTCGTTGCCCTGGAAGAGTCATGCCGCACGCACAGCATGCCACACAGCGTGTCAGCTCAGCCATTCGCCTCTCCACCAGCCTCCATTGTCTCCCCTGAGCCACCTACCCTCTACCCTGCGGGCTTCCTGCTTCCTCCCTGTGCACGCCCCTTGCCTGCCTCTGCTTGCATGCCCTCCCCTCCCTGCAGGCAGTTCAGCGGCAATGCCTTCAACGGCACCCTGCCCGACTCCCTCAGCCGCCTCTCCAATCTCCTCGACCTGTACGCCCCTCCTCCACCTGCACGCCCCTCCTCCACCTGTACGCACCGCGGAGCCTGATAGTCCCGAATGGCTACTACCCCTCCATGCCCGTGTCCCCCTCCCACACTGCTCCCACTCACCCACCCACCAACAACAGCCATGCCACACCCTCTGCACCTGCCCGCTTCTGATACACACCCTGCACCCTGCCATGGCATACACACCCTGCACCCTGCCATGCCACACACACCCTGCCCTGGGTTCTCCACTCTCCGTTGTACCTTGCCTTCCCTCCGCCTGTGGCTGCAGGGAGCTTCAGAAGAACAAGTTCTCGGGCTCCTTCCCCTCCTTCGTCTCCACCCTGCGCCAACTCACCATGCTGTGAGCCACAACCTGCGCCAACTCACCATGCTGTGAGCCACACCCTGCACCAACTCACCATGCTGTGAGCCACACCCTGCACCAACTCACCATGCTGTGAGCCACACCCTGCACCAACTCACCATGCTGTGAGCCACACCCTGCACCAACTCACCATGCTGTGAGCCACACCCTGCACCAACTCACCATGCTGTGAGCCACACCCTGCACCAACTCACCATGCTGTGAGCCACATCCGGGCAATGCCATCGTCCTCGTATGCATGCCATCCTCCTCGCGTGCATGCCATCCTCCCCCCGTGCATGCCATCCTCCGTTCCCCATTAGAGCCATGAGCTGTTCCTCGATCACCACCCCACATATTCGGGCACAGTGCAGTGTAATTCGTCCGGGGGCGCAAACGATTCAAGAGGCTGGTGCTTGTACTCGGTCGCAAACATGTGCGGCTTCTGTCCATTCAACTCTCTCCTTTCACCTCTCTCCTTTCACCTCTCTGCATGCCTGCGCCACCAGCTATATGAGCAACAACAACTTCACGGGCGACTTCCCACACTTCATAGGCAACATGACCCGGCTCGCCTATGTGTAACCACCATGGCCCTGTGTCTCGCCCTGCCTGACCCTGTGTCTCGCCCTGCGTGACCCTGTGTCTCGCCCTGCCAGACCCTGTGTCTCACCCTGCCTGACCCTGTGCCTCACCCTGCGTGACCCTGTGTTTCACCCTGCATGACCCTGTGTCTTACCCTTCGTGGCCCTGTGTCTCACCCTGCCTGGCCCTGTGTCTCACCCTGCGTGACCCTGTGTCTTACCCTTCGTGACCCTGTGTCTCACCCTGCCTGACCCTGTGTCTCACGCTGCCTGACCCTGTGTCTCACCCTGCAAGACCCTGTGTCTCACCCTGCAAGACCCTGTGTCTCACCCTGCAAGACCCTGTGTCTCGCCCTGCATGTCTTGCCCTCCCGCCCCTGCACGTCCTTCCAGCAAGATCTTCACAAATCAGCTCAGAGGCACGCTGCCTCAATCCTTCAGCCAGCTGCGCAATCTCACGCACCTGTCAGTTCTAACTAACCGTTACTTTCAACCAGCCCGCCAGCCAGTTGTGACACACCTGTCACTGCACTCCTGCTCCATGCCAATCCCATGCATGCACCCTCACCACACACTTGTAGCTGCCACCTCCGGCCACTCCTCCCTCGTTAACACGTGCTGCCTCTCCCCCTGCCGTGCTGCCTCTCCCCCTGCCATACTCCGCCCCTGCGCGCAGCGACCTGAGGGACATGCAGCTGTACGGACCCCTGCCGCCCTGGCTGGGCGACCTCACTCGCCTTAACTACCTGTGAGTGTGCGCTGCCGCCACTCGTGCTGGGAGGTCTCTATGTGTGTTGGGCGTGGGAGCGGGCACAAGCCAGGAGGCAAGGTGAACGCATGGGACCATGCCTTACGATCTGCGGCAACCTGCCTTTCTTGCCTGCGCACTGTAACACTGCTCTCCAAGCGCATCTGCTGTGTGTTGCTGTGTGCTCATGCCCTCGTCCCCCTCGCAGCCACTTCCGCAACAACGATCTGGCTGGCCCTTTGCCTGAGTCACTGGGGAAGCTCACCAACCTCATTGAGATGTGAGACGCCCCACCAGCACCACGGCGCACAGATAGCCGTGATAGCCGTGTGTGCACCTGCCACACGCGTATGGCCCCCTGCCTGGCTCATCCATGTATGCTGCTGGCCATGACACCTGTATGTTGCACCCAACTATATGTGTGGCTGCTATTGTATCTCCCCCCTCCCTCCCCCTCCTGGACGCCCTTAAAACCCCTCTTTGTACCGCAGCTCTCTCATTGGCAACCCTAAGCTCAATGGCACGCTGCCTGCGTGTTGGGCCAACTCCATGTCCCTCGGTACCATGTGCGCCCACCAACTCACATCTTGCACCCCTTATGCACGTCTTTCCCATACATTGTTTTAACACTCCCCTCTTTCTACCCTTCCATTGCTTGCAACCCAGAGCCTCTTTTGATATCACCAGAGGCCATGTCCCTCACTGTGCTCTTTGCTGTGGCCCGTCCCCGTGCTCTCTGCTTCAACCCGCCCCCTCTCAACTCTCTCCCTCCGGCGCATCTCCCACGCCCATGCCCTGCCCCCGTGACTGTGTGCCCCCCTCCAGTGCGGCGTCGCGCCTTCAATACGCGTGCCCTTCGCCTGAGTCCTGCTGCCCCACCGGCAGCCCTGTTCAGGACCTGCCCTTTTGCGTCAACTTCTGCCCCCAGTACTGCACCGCCTGTGCTCCAGGTAGCTATTTTGTGATCCATGTACCACTGCCTTGTCCCATCTAGTGCACGCCTCTCCCCTTCTCCTAACAACACTTGCGCTTGTCTTTACTCTGTCATCTCTCTGTTGCTCCTCACTGGCCTCTGCCCTCTCCCTGAAATCCCCTGCCCTCTCAGGCATGGCGCCTGGAGCTGTTGCGGGCATTGTTGTCGCGGCCACACTTGCGCTGCTGGCCGTGCTGGCGCTCGCCCTCTACGTAGGCTACTACAAGTGGGGCCCCGGCCGCACGCGAGGTCCGTGCTGCATGCTCCCCCTCCACCATACACTCTTCGCACCCACATGCCTTTGCCTGCCCCTCCCCCTGTCTCGTGTATCAGCTCCTCTCTGCCTTATTGCCTCGGTTGCCTTGTCAGCTCAGCTCTTATTCCTGCCTCCCCCCCCCTGCTGTCGTGCGTGGGTTGGCAGCGTGGGAGCGTGAGTTGGAGCGGGGGTTCCGCAAGTACACATGGCGGGAGGTAATGGGCGCCACTGACAACATGAGTGACGCCAGGAAGCTGGGCAAGGGGGGCTTTGGCACGGTGTATCTGGGGCAGGGGGATGCGCCGGACCAGCTGGTTGCTGTGAAGCGTGCAGCATTCGTGGAGCGGTCGTCCAAGACAGCCACCATGTTTGAGGAGGAGGTCAGCTGCTCTCACCACGCACATGCACAACCGTTTTCTTGCACTCCCCATGCCTTTCCTCACCATCCGCCTTACCTCCTAGTCAGCTTCGCCCTTCACGTGCTGCCTGTCCTCTTCCGTGTGCGCATGACGTGTGGTGGCAGGTGAAGGCGGTGTCACGCTTCTACCACAGGAACCTCGTGCGCCTGCTGGGGTACTGCAGTGACAACTCGGAGCAGGTGCTCGTGTACGAGTACGTGCCCAATGGGCCGCTCAGCGACCACCTCTACGGCGACATCAAAGGTTGCCACAAGCCCCCATCATCCTCCTCCTCCCCAGGCAACTCCTCCTCCTCCTTGGTCTGCTTATCTTCCTCTGCGGCACGTTCAGGCGATACAATAGGTTGCCATCTGCATTTCATCCAAGCCTTGGTTCATGCAGCCTCACTAGCGTGCTGTAACAGCTGTGTAAGCGTGCCCTCCTCGTGTTGTTCTGGTTGTGCGTGTGGGGACTGGGTGCAAGCAGGGCAGCTGCTGACATTTGAGCAGCGGTTGGAGGCGGCAATAGGGCTGGCGGAGGGGCTGGTGTACCTGCACAACCACACGGAGCGCCCCACCGTGCACCGCGACATCAAGCCCTCCAACGTGCTGCTCACCCTCGACTACCAGGTAAGTCCCACCCCATCACCAGGTGCCTCCCACTCGACTCCCAGGTAGCTCATGCACAAATGCAGGCCAGTGCACGAGTGCATGTTGATGTGTGCATGTGCGTATGGGCTGCCTAGTGGTGCGAGGAGGGTCATGCTGAGGAGGGCACCAGCTACTGGGGGCCATAGACTGAGTGGAGAACGGCCCTCACCTCCGCTTCATATCTCTCGTCGTCCAACCCTTCCATGCATCCCACTTTGCAATACTTGCATGTGCGCAGGTGAAGATTGCAGACTTTGGGTTGCTACGGGAGGTGGGCAGGGAGGAGATGGTCACATTCACCAAGGTGGCTGGCACACGGGGCTACATGGACCCTGACTACATGACCTTGGAGTTGCTCACCACCCGCAGTGATGTCTACAGGTGCAACCCTTCTTCCTCACCCTTCCACCCTCTCTCCTACATGCATTGCATCCATGCCCCATTCTTCCCGAAACCCTGACCACCATGATTTTCGTTGCTCCATACTGGTCGTATGCTCTGAACCCGTGCTCAACGCTCCTTGGTGCTAGCGGTTGTCTCAACTCGTCCTTGCACCTTCCCATTCCCATCTCCTCTGCCCCAATCCTTGCCGTGCCGCTGGGAGAGTGCTCGCGGATTCAGTTTTGGGGTGCTGCTTCTGGAGCTGGTGACAGGGAGGGAGGCGATGGAGAGGGACCCGGAGGACAAGGATAAGCTGGTGCACATAACGTCGGTGGTGCTGCCCTTCATAGTGTCGGGGGACATCGACCTTGTGGTTGACACACGCATTGCCACACCTCTCAACCTGCCCACTCTCCTCGCCATGGCTCAGATTGCGGCTCTCTGCGTGCAGCAGCCAGCCACGAGGCGGCCTGAGATGGTGGAGGTGGTGAAGGCGCTGCACGCCGCCCGAAAGGACTACCACGCCCTCCACGCTGCTGCTGCTCCCGGGGTTGGCAGCAGTGACAGGGAGGCGTCGCAGCGGACCAGTGGGCAGCCGGAGATGGGGGATGAGGGAAAGACCCTCATGATTGGTGACGGAGTGCTGCTTGGAAGTACATGGCAGGGTGGATGGTCGCGAAGCATCATTCAGGCATCCATGGCGAAGCCCGACAACGAAGTGGACCTGGCGACCTGGCGCATGGCGAATGCTAGTAGTGCCCTGGCCGAAGCTGCTACTGCTCTGGCAGCGGCACATGCCATTGTGGTGATGGAAGGGATGCACAGTGAGAGTGAGAGGACAGCAGAGATGCCAAACACAGCTGAGAGGAAGCAAACAAAAGGCAAGGCCCATATATCAGAGCTGCCCCCTGTACCTGTGTGGGAGCAGCGCACAAGTGGCGAGTCGACTATCAACACTAGCAGATCATTGCTGCACGGCCGGGTGAGCTCGTTTTCTGATAGCAGCAGCAGTTGGGCTTCTCCACACGCAACAAACAATGCGGTGTGAAGGTTTTCTAGATTGGAATTTAGGTGAATATGCTATCTAGCGTCAAGTAAGGCTCATAAACCTAGGCATATTGTTTTGTGCATTGTCAATTGCCTTGTATATTAACTTGGAGTCCTCAATATGCTAAAATAGCACACATGGTGGACAATTGAAAAATGGACTGTCAAGGGGCCCGAAGGAACGGCCCGAACATTCAAAACCCGCGGCTCAAATTGCATGCTGTGCAATTCAAATGCGCTGCATATGAAAACGGCCGAACAGTCAGTGTAACCCAGGCCTCTGGATAGGATTAGAAGTACTCTTTCTCATAAGGGTACTCGCTTGCTGCCACTTTTTCTGTGAGGGTATATTTTTAAGCTACTTTGTAATATAAGGGTCCTAAATAATGTCAGGAGACTAGGATGCTAGGAACGGTAGACGGCCATGGAATGGCGTGAGGGTTTAGCTAGGAGAGGAAGTTGATGAGGGTAAAGAGAGCGAAAATAGAAGAGAGAGGGATACAAGGAGGTGGGTTCTACCCTCTACAGTAGGTTTAAGTAACACCTACCAAGCCTACCAATTATATATCAAAGACATAATTTAACACACCCCCTAGGCTTGGTAGCCGAAAGCACACCACACACGGGACACTAAGCCACACACACCCCCTAAATCTAGCACCCCCATACTCAGTAGCAGCGACGGCTATACTAGCCCGGTCAACCCCTCGGCGCGTGAGGCTGCGACGTCGACAGCAAGGGCTGCGGCGGCGACGGCGGCAGCGTCGACAGCGGCGGCGTGGCCCCAACGCAAGCGGCGACAGCGGCGGCGGCGGCGGCGGCTTCGACAACAGCGGCGGCTTCGACAACAGCGGCGGTGGGGCTCGCAGCACTCGGCGGCGTGGCCGGGCTCCGCGACGGTGGGACGGCCAGCGGTCAGCCATCGGCTGCGGCTAGGAAGAGGGGACGCAGGGAAGGGGGAGGGGGCTTCTGCAACATGCCCGTGGCTGGCGTGTGGGCGTCAGGGCCGGCGGTGCCTAAGACGTCACGCGGCCCGCTGCTGCCCGTCGACGCCGCCACTGCAGCATAACGCCGTCTCCACAGCGCGGCGTCGATGCGGTGGCGGTACGTCGACGCTGCGACGGCAGCACGACACCGTTGCCGCAGTGTGGCGTCGACGCCACGTGTCGAGGCTGCAACGGCAGCACCACGACGCCGTCACTACAGCGTGGCATGGCCGTCGCGGCGGCACGAAAGTAGCGGAAATGGGCGATAGAAGTACGAGTACGTGGCGGAAGCATGGGGAGCAGGCCCGGGAAGGGCAACCTGCTCTGATACCATGTCAGGAGACTAGGATGCTAGGAATGGTAGACGGCCATGGAATGGCATGAGGGTTTAGCGAGGAGATGAAGTTGACAAGAGAAAAGAGAGCGAGAATGGAAGAGAGGGATACAAGGAGGGGGACTGTACCCTCTACAGTAGGTTTCAGTAACACCTACCAAGCCTACCAATTATATATCAAAGATATAATTTAACAAATTATTGTACTTTCTCACATAAGGGTATAACTCTAGCGCAGCCTTACACTTTACTGTAGTTGCAGGATCTCGCGTGATCGTACGACTGACATGTTGCAGATCTGATGTGATGACGTGCCTTGGGCTTTACTCAACAGGGTGCGCCAATATTTTTGTTTGTTAGCGCTGAAGTGGAGGGAATGACGTGTTAGACTAAGTACGCTAGGAAGCCATGAAAGTAGGAGGGTTTAAGAAGTCGAGAGGAAAAAGGGTCTTGATTTTGAAGAGAGAGGGATACAAGAAGGGGGTTGTACCCTCTACAGTAGGTTTCAGTAACACCTACCAAGCCTACAATTATATATAACCTATATAATTTAACACACCCCCTAGGCTTGGTAGTCTCAAGCCCACCCAACACCCAACACCCCCAAGCCCGTGCACCCACCAGGTCTTACAGCAAGAGGGGCTGCTACCCTTCGTGCGAGGCGATGACACCCCCGGCGGGTGGCGGCAACAGCGTCAGCGGCGGCAGTGGCGTCGACGACGGCAGCGGCGGCAGCGTCGACGGCGGCGGCAGTGACGGCGGCGGCGACGGTGAAACTCGCGGCGCCCGGCGGCATGGCACGGCCCGGCTACGACCGGGAAGAGACTCAGCATCTGCGGCTAGAACTAGGGGTGGTGCAGGGGAGGTGGCGTAGCGTCAGCAAGGCGCCATGGCTGACACGGCACTGGCTGATGTGCGGGCGAGCTGGTGGAGCCTAAAACGTTGCGTGGCCTGCTGCCGCCCGACGATGCCGCCACGGCAGCATGACGATGCCGCCACAGCGTGGCGTCGATGCCGCGGCGGCACGACGCCGCTGCCACGGCAGCATGACGACGTCGCCACGGCAGCGCGTCGGGGCTGCGACGGCAGTACGACGAAGCCGCCATGGCAGCTCGGCATGGCCGCCAAGACGGCACGGAATTGACGAGAGAAGGCGACTATGCGGCGGAAGCGTGTGGAGCAGGCCCGGGAGGGGCAACTTGCTCTGGTACCATGTTAGACTAAGTACGGTAGGAAGCCATGAAAGTAGGAGGGTTTAGGAAGTCGAGAAAAAATGTCGAGAGGAAAAAGGGTCTTGATTAGGAAGAGAGAGGGATACAAGGAGGGGGTTGTACCCTCTACAGTAAGTTTCAATAACACCTACCAAGCCTACAATTATATATAACCTATATAATTTAACATGATGCACCTCAACAATTTGCAGTTTTAATTACTATGGTCACGGGGTAGGGCGTGTTAAATTATATATTATATAATGTATAATTGTAGGCTTGGTAGGTGTGACTGGATCCTACTGTAGAGGGTACAACCCCCCTTCTTGTATCCCGCTCTCTTCTAGTCCAAATCTCTCTTCTCTCTCAACATTTTCCTTCTATCCTAAAACCTCTCACTACAATCCTATGCCTAGCTTCTAGTCCACCATTCTGCTATTTTAACATGATATCAAAGCGGGTCCTTCTGCTTGGGCCTGCGCAATACGCTTCCACAACCCTCGCTCCTCCCTCCTGTCCTTTCCGCGCCGCCACCACGGCCATGTCGTGCTGCAGTGACGGCGGCGTCGTGCTGCCGTGGCGGCGGCGATGCGCCAGCGCACGGACGGCACAGACGGCACGGACGGCAGCGGCCAGCGCCCGGTCTTAGCGCTGGCCAGCACTGCCCGCATGCAGCCAGCGCGCCACACGGGGTCGCACGCTCCCTGGCTCCGCTACTGAAGCACCGCCCCCTTCCCTTGCGTCCCCTCTTCCTCGCCGCAGCTGACGGCTGACTCGAGCGGGCCTTCCCACTGTCGCTGAGTCAGGCCACGCCGCCGAGTGCCGCGGGCTCCACTGCCGCCGCCGCTGTTGTCGAAGCCGCCGCCGCCGCAGCTGTTGCCGCTGGCCTCGCCGCCGCATGCCGCCGCCGCCGCCGCTGTCGTCGCTGCCGCCGTTGCCGCTGTTGCAGCCGCTGCCCTCGCTGTCGACGTCGCCGCCTCGCACGCCGAGGGGTTGACCATGCTGAAGAAGCCGTCGCTGCTGCTGAGTATGGGGGTGCTAGGCTTAGGGGGTGTGTGGCTTAGTGTGCTGTGTGCGTGGTGGGCTTTCGGCTACCAAGCCTAGGGGGTGTGTTAAATAATATATATTATATATATATATAATTGTAGGCTTGGTAGGTGTTACTGGATCCTACTGTAGAGGGTACAACCCTCCTTCTTGTATCTCTCTCTCTTCTAGTCCAAATCTCACTTCTCTCTCGACATTTTCCTTCTAGCCTAAAACCTCTTGCTACGCCCCTATGCCTAGCTTCTAGTCCACCATTCTGCTATTCTAATAGGGCGTATTCCTAATTTAACGTGTTCAGTACCAGGAAACCAAACTTCGAGAACTACCGAATCGAACCGCACAAGAAATCGCGTTTTCACCATCGGACCTTACTGTTTCGCGTTTCAGACTCAATTTCGGGTTTGCTGGTACTGAACACTGTCTTGTAGGAATACGCCCTTACTCCCTGGATCCTTCCCGGTCGCGACCTGTGTTCCCGTTGTGAGTGATTTATGCGGCACTCATGATTTCGTAAATAGTAGTGAGTGATTTTATGCCTCGCTGGCCCCGTTCGCCCCGCTGGCCCGTTAGCGCCCCGCTGGCCCCATCGAGCCCCGCTAGCCCCGTGCGCCCTGCTTGGCCCATTAGCGCCCCGCTGGCCCCGTCGATCGCCGCTAGCCCTGTGCGCCCCACCGGCCCCGTCCGCCCCACTGGCCCCGTTCGCCCCGCTGGCATCGTTCGCGCCCCACTGGCACCATGCGCGCCCCGCTAGCCCCGTCGCGCCCCTCTAGCCCCATGCGCCCCGCTAGCCCCGTACTCGCCTCCAGCCCCGTGCGCCCCCCTGGCCCCGTTCGCGCCTCGCTAGTCCCGTCGCGCCCCACTAGCCCCGTGCGCCCCGCTAGCCCTGTGCTCCCCGCCGGCCCCCAGCTAGCCGGCCCCTCACTCGCTGCCCCCCCCCAGCGCCACTGGCCCCTGCTCCGCCGGCCACAGCCCGCACCAGCTCCGTGCCGTCCAGCCGCCGCGCCGCAGTCCCGCCGAGCCGCCGTGTAGCTGTGCCGCCGTGTAGATGCGCCGCCGTGATGCCCTGCCGCCCCTGACCTACCGGCCTTGGCTACCTTTTGAGCCGGCACATCTGCCGACTGTCTCCACCGCTCTTCACCGCACTCCACCGCACTCCACCGCATTCCACCGCTCTCCACCACTCTCCACCACACTCCACTCTCCACCGCTCTCCAACACTCTCCACCACTCTCCACCGCACTCCACCGCTCTTCACAGCTCTCAGCTGCCTTCATTCGCCTTTCCTCCTCTCCCTGTCAGTGGCAGTCAGCTGCTGTAGCCAGGGTGATGGCAGACTCACTGCTCCGCCTGGACGCAGAGGGCCGGGCGATCGATTTCGAGGCGTGGCTCGTCGACCTGCGCCGGCACCTTACAGGTCAGCGCCAACGCCGCCCTGCTGAGCCTGTTGCCCTCCCTGACACCCCCACCACTGCTGAGCGTGAGGCCTTTTCCGCTGCTGCACTTGCTCGCGCTGTCTGGAAGTCGCGCGACGCAGTTGCGCAACT